ATGTTAAAATTACCGAGATTAAAAAACATTTGTTGTCTGTATCTGTATGTAAAAAATAGTATCACTTAATGTATTACATAGAAGGAATGAAACAAATTTATTTCCTCTGGTCCAAATGCTATGAAAAATCTGCCACCAAATTTTGAATGCTAATTAAATTCATCTAAACTTTCCTGAAAGAACCATCCATTATTTAGCTTTTATTGAATATTTTTTCTCGTCAAAGTTTTCACTCCTTGTCACACTCGCTAATCTAGTACGAGTCACGAGACCGAGTCTACTTCATTTTTCAAAAAAAAAAAAAAAAAAATCATTTTCATCAAGTTTTATTTCTCCCTAACGTTATCCCAGGCGTGCACCTTCTTCCACGTCCTTTGCCCAGCTTCGCTTCTGTCTAGGGTTCAGCCTTATATTATCAAATGGGTAAAAATGAAATTGATTCAGATTAATGAACTACTAAACATAATTATAAAGTATTATAGATTTTTTTTCAATTTAGATGTTTAAATATTGATTTCCAATATGAAATATATTTCTTGAATTATGTTTTTAGTGTTGATTCTTGAATTATGTTTTTATAATTAAATTTTTCAATGGAGTTCATCTTATGTTAATCAGTTGAGTTTTTCAGTTGAATTTATTGGTAAGTTTGTCCTATTGAGTTTTTCACTTTGAATTCATGAATTGACTTCATCATAAATTCTTTGTTGAGTTGATTAATCAAGTTGTTCAATTGAATTCATGAGTTATATTCATCTGTCAACTTTTTCAGTTGAATTTATCACTCAAATTTTTTAATTAATTTTTTAATTAATTCTTTAATTAGGTTCATAGGTTAAGTTCACCAATTAAGTTCTTCAATCAAATTCATTATTTAAATTAGTTAAGTCTAGTATTTACAAATTTAGTTCACCAATTAAATTTACAAGACTATTTCACAATGAGTTCAAAATTCATTAGTTGAGTCTATACAACTCTCACAAAAATCTTCTAATGTAATCTTAATTTAAAAAAATAAATAAATAAATAAATATATATATATATATATATATATATATATATATAATATATAAACTATTAAAAAAGAAATTTTCTCGTAACTTGTATATAACATTTTGAAATTTCTTTATTTATTCTTTTCAAGAGTTATATCTTAGTTATTATATTTGTTTTATCTAATAATTTAAAATAATATAAAATAAAATATTATAAAAAATGGAATAAAAAATAAAAAAATGGTAAAAATAAGAGTAAAATCAATAAGTAAAATTTGACGTTAACGTACTTTTTTTTTTTCCTCAAACATTCTGTAATCAACTCATTATCATTTTGGCTTTTTCATATGCAACATGTGTTAAGTAAATTGTTTTGCTTATAGATAGATACATGTATCCAGGTACATGTTTACCATGGGAGGAAAATTCTCAAGGGCAAACTAATATATGTAATGAGTGACTCTAAATACATATGAAAGATAAACAATTTAAGCATAAAACAACTCAAACATGTTTTATATTATTAATCATAATATTGGCATAAAATCAAATATAAAGTATATTTCATTTTATTCATCACAATTAATATTTTAAAATTAAACATAATTAATTAAAGTTTTGAGAAAGGACCAAAACCTTATTGCAATAAGTGGAAAACACGTTCACATTGTTAGCATTTTGATATTTGAATTCAAATTTTACTTCAATTTTCGTGTAAAGAACCTCTCACTCACTCTCCTTCCAAAATTGCTCAGCAAGCAAAACAAAGTCTGATGGTGGAGGTTAGATCTAGCAAAACAATGCAAATTTTCAATGAATATGCTATGGGAGAGTAATTTCAAGAATTCTCTCCATAAAGAAGAGATGAGAATGAGAAGAAAAAGAAGTTAGATCCTAACAATTTTCAAAATATTTTAAGTAATGCAGAGATTTTTACTTGTATCTATGACCCTTTTTTATGAAAAAACAAGTTTAGCTCTGGGTGTAGGTATCTAATGATAACATTTTAGTCCCACAAAATACTAATAATAAAATAAACAAGTTGTTAAATGAATATAGTATAACTAACTATGTCGAATCTCACAAAGATACAATTATAAAAATAGTAAATATGAGATTAATAAAAAAGTGAAAAATGTGACGTAGAATAGTAAAAATCAAAATCAAATTGCAACAGATTAATAATGATAATTAAAATTAAATTGAAGTAGAATTAAAATAACTGAAATTTATAAAATTAAAACAAAATGTTTTTAATTAAATTCAAAATTTGTCAAAATAAAGTGCAAAATAAAGAAATTATTTTAAAATAAAATAATGTAGTAATTAAATTTAATATTTATCAAAACGATAACTTTAAAACTAAATTGATAATTGTAATTGGGATTAGAATAAAGATGTATTGAAAATGGAAATTAAACAATACTAGAATAAAATAAAAATTCTAAATAATTAAATAGTAAAAATTCAAATGAACATTAAATGAATAAAGTAAACAAAATAATATAAACTCAAAAATTCAATAAAAATTGTAAATTAAATAAAAGAGAATAAACTTAAAGTACAGTAATAATAGATAAACTCGTTTAACTATAAAACGAAAAATAGAATGAATTTTTTATACATTTAATTAATAATACTTTTTGTACATTTTAATATAAATGATGATATAAGATTGAGTTATAAAAATAAAACATAATATAATTAAGAAAGTAATTAAATTTAATTAATATATTAGATTAAAAAAAATCTATTTTTTATATAATATTAATTGCATATTAAATTATAAATTTAATGGTAAATTGAATTCCATAACTTACTTTTATTTAGTTAATTATTTTTTCATATAAAAAACGTAAAATAGTATACGTTCATTTTAGATGAAATAATTTTTTATGATTCTTTATACACTTAATTAATAATATTTTTGTACATTTTAATATAAATGATGATATAAGATTGAGTTATAAAAATAAAACATAATATAATTAAGAAAGTAATTAAATTTAATTAATATATTATATTTAAAAAGTCTATTTTTTATAAAATATTAATTTCATATTAAATTATAAATTTAATGGTAAATTGAATTCCATAAATTATTTTTTTACATTATTAAGATTTAAAGTTTTCAACTAATTTATTCAATTTTCTTATTTTTAATAAATCATTTGCTCTTATAATTAATTAATTAATTGAATCTTATAAAAAATTTCGAGCTATGTATAATGTTTTTTAAATAATAAAGAATAATATATATATATATATATATATATATATATATATATATATTAATGTTAGAAGATTAACAATCTTTTAAAAATTTATCAGTATTATAACATAAAGGAAACAATTTCTTTAATAGAATATAAGATTCAAAATTTAAAGTCCAAAATGAAAAACCTTATATGATCGGAAAATTATTTAAGTTAAGAAATAAAAAGCTTAATTATTTTATTTATTTATTTTATTTAACTTGATGTTTTAATTAAATTTCTCAACTTAATGTTCAATTAATTTATCAATTTAAAAATGAATTTAATTATGAAAAAAGTTAAATATTATTTTCAGTCTAGTATTTTTCTTTATATTTAATTTTTTTTGTTAATTAAAAATTGATTAATGAATCTTTAAATCTTAACAAATTACATGAATCTATTCTTTCTAAATCATGATAATAAAATTTCATTATTAAATATTAAATTTAGGACTAATTATGTTTTTATTATATTTTTAATGAAATTTATGTTCATTCGAGTAATTATTCTATAAACTTAAAAAATCATAATAGAAATCATTATTAAATATTAAATTTATATTTAAAAAATAATGAAAGTTACGCATTAATTTAATCATTATAATAAAAATAATATTATTATTAAATATAAAATTTAAATATAAAAATAAAATAATAGATTTACAAAATTAGAAAAATGTTTTTTCTTTTTAAAATATAAAAACTAAAAAAAAGAAATATATTTATTCTTCAGATTTAAGTATAAAAATTAATTAAAATCACATCTAATTTTTTTTTACTAATTTTATTAAAATAAGAAATATCATTAATTATTAAATTTTGATATAGAAAATATTAAGAACGCTAGTATCAATATATTAACTAATTTATAAGTAAAAAAGAAAAAGAAAAGAAAGTTGGAAAAAGAAAATATAATCACATGTGTAATATATATATATATATATATATATATATATATATATATATATATATATTAATTTAAATATAGATATTTTGAATGAATCTTACAAGTAATATATTTTAAAATAAAAATTATTCAAATAAAATTTGTATGAATTTATTATTTATATGTAATTTTTCTTTTTTTTTATATTTTTTTATTTTGTTCAATTTTTATTTATTTTTTCTCTTTGCTATCTTGCGTGTTTTTTTTCTCTCATTTATTATCTTAATTAACAAAAATATATCCTAACAATTAAAATAAAAAATATTAGTTAATTATTTAAAATTATAATGATAATAACTATTTTTATTTGTTTTAACAATAAATGATTTTATTTATGATAAAGGAAATAATTATTTTAAAATTATTTTATCATAATAAATAATTACTCATTTAATAAAATAAATATTAATATTTATAAATTAAATATATTTTTTATTTAATAATTTAATTTAATTATATTTAAGTTGAATTCTGATAATTAATTAGATTAGATAATTTTAAAAAATATATTTATTAAAATAAATATTTAATTTCCTCTTAATAATAATAAAAAATTCCAATTATCAAATTTAAATGTATAATTTTAGTTAAAAAATAAAATAGGACGAGAGAAGAATAAAAAAGAAATAAAAAAAGGAGAAAAAGAAGAAAAAACTATATTATATGATAAGAATTTATTTCTCTTTATTAATTAAATTTTGTATATTAAATAAGTCTCCCCTGTAGCGTACGAGTGGGTTCTTCAGCAAGGACCAGAGCCGCAACAGAACTGCGTCGGAGAGAAATCCAAAAAGAGCTCGGAATGAATGAAGACGATCTCTCTTGCTCCGATTCTCCCAGAAACCGCGGCGTAACTGTGGAGCAGTGCCAACGCATGATTCAGAAGAGTCTCCTTTGTATGTATTTCTTGTATTATTATTATCCATCGCATGTTAATGCTCTATATTAAACTCCGATTTCTCATTTTCTTTATAAAATCACTTTAATAAGCAAGAAGAAAAACTTCTAATTTATATTATTTTGAACATTCTTCTGATTTTGATTATTTCCTATATATCTCAGCTCCGCAGGTGAGGTTCTTGAGGGAACAGTTGGAAAAAGCTGGGTGTCTCGTAGGGGATAATTTCATCAAATCTGTTAAATGCGACGAGAGCGGAATAGCTGGCGGTTACACTAAGGGTAAAGGGGTACTTGTTTCTTTCTCTCATATGAGTTTGGCCTTCTACATGTTTTCATACATGCTATTTACATTATGTTTATTGTATGAAAAATACTCGCATCACACACTCTTTTGAATATACTCTTTACTTTTGGCCCAAAATTTATTGGAAATTACAAAACTTTTTATTTATCATTTAATGAGTATCTATTATTGTAGTTTCTAATATTTTTTAACTGACAAGATGTATATATTCAAAAGAATGTATGTGTTATTAGCATTTCTCTCATTTTATTTCGGTAATTTTTCAGGTGTAGTTGCTTATAAAGTTGAGTAAGTTACACTATATGAAACTAAGCTACTATCGATTATAATGGTTAATTATTACTCAGTTTTAGCAATCCATGATTGGATTACGGTAAAAGAAAATATATTCTGTAATATTATGTTTGATGGTGATAGTATGAGTTGTGCAATTTACTAATGTGATACATCTTTCTACTTTACTGGTGTGACTTTGTCTCAGATAGTTGTGTGCTGCAACGAGATGGAATCTCAAGATAACGTTGACCAAGTGCTAAAGCATGAACTTATTCATGTATTTGATGACTGTCGTGCTGCAAACTTGGATTGGACAAAATGTGCGCACCATGCTTGTAGCGAGGTTCCTGTCTAACAATGCGCCCTTTACCCATATTGAATTTGATGGAGTGCTCTAATTAATTTTTCTCAATGATAATGTGAAACAGATAAGAGCTGGTCATTTAAGTGGTGATTGCCATTTCAAACGGGAACTTTTTAAATTAACTTCCTTGAAAATTCGAGGGCATGAACAAGTACGTTGATTCTTTCCTTTCTCCATTTATGCAAATAATTACTTTTGTTGACTATTTTCAGTGATAAATGTAGCAGCTTTGTTTTGGTATTTTAGCAAAGGTACAAGGGTAAAAGTATTCATAAAAGGCCGTAGTCTCAAAGTTTTTAAGTAATATTTGAGACAAGTATTAGTAATTTTTGAACATCAAGCACAAAGCAACCTCTTTATTCTCATATTTGACTAAATAAAGAAAAAAAAAATTCTTAGAGTTGTAAAGAAGATTATTCCAAAGGACTGTCAGGATAAGGGTTCCACTTTAACAAAATGTCAACAATAAAGAGAAAAACATCATTGAAGCGAAGCTATAATAATGGCAACCCCGTTAAAAAGACCATGTGACTTGTGCCAAATGCCTAGTTTTATTCCAAATCAACTTCTGATCCAATGAAATCTCCTTGAAGACGCATGAGCTAGCTTCAACTGATTAGCATAGATTGCACATTGTCACAAAGGCTTTGCTTATTTACCTCCACCAAAGTGCCTTATAAAATAGTGAATACAACAAAGAAACATCAGGAACAATGCTGAGTTTTAGCTAGCACCATGCATAGCATACATATAAAGGGAAATAGGCTGATTTTGGCTTACAAACCTGCAAATGTCATTATTATTATTGATTCTGTTAAGCATTGTAGCTAGTCTTTTTGAATGGCAAGAACTGTGGCAATCAGGGTGTTGCAATAATGCAATTTCACCATGTTGTGTTCCACATCCAGCTGCCATGGTTCTTCGCTCTACACATAATATGTTTATATATTCTCCCCTGCTTGTCAAATGATGTTCATCTGACATAGGAGAAAATAAACAAGAGAAGGAAAGTTATGGAATATTTGCATTTTGCCCTAGTAATTATCATATAATGACTTGACAATTTTCTCATTTTTTCCTAATGTCATCGTGTGTTGCTAAATCTCATGTTTTTTCTATCACATAAATGGTTATTCATCAAGTTGTTCTATATTTTCCCTAAACGTCTTAATCTCAAAAGTCAAAATCCCTTTTTCCTTGAATATAAAACTTTTTGTGAGCTTTCACTCTACATGTGAAGCCTATGACAAAGTTGGTCCTTCACATTATCACAACATCAATGACCATTTTGTCATGAATTTGATCCTCGTCATCTCATTCCTGTCCTGATCTAAATTATTGTTGTATTTCAACTCATGTTATAGTGACCTATGCATGATCCATGCTTTGAGACCAAAACGCTCTTGTATGATGGGTATGCTAAATATTACCATTCATTAATGTTTGGTCATATAATAACTAAGGCTTTTAAAAGAGTTTTTGAGGCTATAGGGATTAAGGTACTAGTGGAGGACAACTATGTAGGGAGTGGCATTGAAGGAGTGTCAGACAACATCCAAGAATCAACAGTGCAAGATGATTTGATCGTGTGAATGGAAGTCATGGTGTGGTGGGAGGTTGGTTCAAAGGAAATAATAGAAAAAAGAACAAGCATTTGTGAAAATTATAGCATAGGGGAAGAAGCTAAAGAAGACGGCAAAGGAAATCAGAGCATATGTGGAAAAGACAGTAGTTGGTTTAACAATGAATGGTGGCTGGTTCAATGGTGCTGATGGACGTAGTGATGGTGTCTTGCTAAGGGGAAACCAAAAGTTGCTATATAAAGAAAAAGAAAGAGTATGTTCATGAAGAAAAAGTAAAGCGAATGGCATCATAGTGTCTAGCAGATGGGCTGTTTTCATTTTTCCATGTTCAAAACTTAGGTAGTGTCCAACCATGTGGGCCACGTCAGACACCATGTGATACACCCACCTCTGACATGCAGAATCACCATATGTGGAAAACATCATGTTTTGTAGTATACAAAAATGGGAGGACATTTGTGATACAATAAAACTTGTGAGTGGCTAGCTGCAAATTTCTTTTGGAGAAGGGGATGAAGAAGACTATCATTGAGCATATACGTTGGTGTTATGTGTGCCAAAGGAACAAATATCAAGTGAAGTCTCTTGTTGGGTTGTTGGAGCTACTTCCAATCCCTGAAGTGGTATGGAATGATATATTTATGGATTTTATTATGGGTTTGCCATGTGGGCAAGGTTTTGAGTAATTTTAATGATGGATCACCTATCTAAATATGCTCATTTTTTTTACCCCTGAAACAACCATAATAGTTTGTATCATTGCTGAATGTTTTACTAGACAAGTGGCAAGGTGCATGAATTTCCCAAATTTGTCATTAGTGATCATGACTCCCTTTTCCTTAACAAGTTTTGGAGCAAATTGTTTTACCTTCATGGCACTTACTACCTTGTGCATGAGTACATTATATCGTCCCCAAACCAATGGTCATAATAAGGTTGTGGTTTGTTGTTTGGAGACTTATCTTCGTTGTTTTGCTTCAGAACAATCCACAAAATGGTACCTCTAGTTATCTTTGGGCAAATTTTGGTATAATGCCTCTTCCCACTTTGCTATAGGTACATTTCCCTTAGTAATTGTATGTGGCTGCCGTCACTTTTGGCCCTTTGCTATTTGATTGGTGAAGCTCAAGCGAAATTTGTAGCTATAGTGTTCCTGAACCCCGACAAATCTCTATCTCATGAAATTTAATATGCAACATCCCCAACAATCTTTGAAGAAGTATGTTGATTCCCATCATTGTCACATTTCTTATGCTATGTCCTGTCAAGCCCTATAGGCATTTCTTATTCTATTGGTGATTGTCTATCACACTCAAGCCCCATGTGTTGCAATGTGTTGCCTGCTGCATCTGTCCCATAATTCACTGTTGTTCGTTTGACAAGCGTACCAATATTATCAATCGTAGTACAGTATTTCAATTAAATAAAATTTGATCCTACGAGGAACGGTTTCATTGAAAATTCCGAATCATATGCTTACTAAGTGTATTGACACAAAATTGGTTTTTCATAAATATTTGGATTGAAAATAAGCGGTAAAAAGCTATAAAATATATTTAGAAAAGATAAACTATGAGAACTTAGGATTGGATTAATTCATTTTTCCTCCTTTGTATAATGGTTAGGTTAAACTAATAACATTAATTAACCTATTAATATTGATGCCACCTACTTAAATCATTCACATTGATTCCTCAAACATGAAATTCATAAGAAAACCTTGTAAACATAGATTTCTCATACATTTAATAGATTTTCCAGCATTAAGTTTAGGGTGTTAGGTATTTAATACATCCATTACCATTCCTAGCAATCAATGTAGCAAATATTCTTAACCTAATCAAGGGTTTCAAAATATGTTTTCCAATATATATGAACATCAAGGATAAAAACATTAAAAGGCACAAAGGATAAGAATAACAACATCAAAAACTTAGATTAATATCTCAAAATATCACCAAGATACAAAAGAGTTCAAAGAAAGTTAGCCACTCATGATGCCCATTACAGTGTTCCAAATGAAGAAGAATTGAAGATTGGACGAAAACTGAAGCAGCTGCCGCGCCTCTCTTCTCAAAACCTAAAAAATTATTTCTCAAAACACATCTTATCTTTTTATAGAAAAATTTGGGTCGCGCGTCATTCGCTCAAGCGGAACATTCATTCAAGCAAAAAATGATGATTTTCGCTCAAGCGAGAAACGTTCGCTTGAGCGGTTGAATTTCCGATAACTTTAACGTATTTTCGCTCAAGCGAATAAATGTTCGCTTGAGCGAGTGACTTACAGAGAATTTTAACGTATTTTCGCTCAAACGAGCATCTATCTCGCTTGGACGAATCTCAGGCTGAAAATCTTCTTTATTCTTTCAATTTTTCTTCAATTATCTTGAGAATTATGATTTTTGCTCTTGTATCAATATATTATGCAAATTCATCTTACATTGGGAGAAAAATAGATTAGAATCAACATATAAATGGTTAAATAACAATTAAAAGTATAATTATATCAACTTTTACCACTTAACATTCACCATGCTTGGATTTGAATCTTAGTTATGAGTTATAGCTACTACCATCAGTGCAAATTCATCCTGAATTCCATGTTTTTGAGCTTAAGAAATCTTAAGTAGTTTTGTTGCGATGGTTTTGCTCCAATTAGAAAAATGGAATCTCTCATACCTTAGGCCTATCTTAGCAACCAAAGAGGTTCGATTCCATGATTTCACAGTGTTGGAATGACTTATTTTGTGGAAGTTTGAGCCAAGGGAAATAACTTCATAGGAGCTTGTTGCTTCCATTCAAAACGTATTTACCATTTTTTGCTTTGAAGACAAGGTAGATTTTAGAGAAATTAATAGGAATCAACCCATTTTGGATAACCTTTTAAGGTTGATAGGAACTTAGGTATTATGGGCATCTAACTCCTAGATTGAGTTGTATGTGATGCTCGGTGGAGTATTTATGTGCTTGGTTCGCCCCCCTAAATGGTTAGCTTTTGAAGGTGGATTCCCTATGTGCTTTGGTAATTGGTATAGAATCTAGTTGTTGGTGTGTCAAAAAGGACTACCTACGAAGGGTTCTAATTGTGGAGGGTTCTAACCAATGTGGAATTGAGTGAAGTGCCACCAAGTGAAGTGTCATATAATGAAAACCCCCTTAGACGTTTGCTCTTAGGGTGATGCTATGATCAGAATTTGGGCATTATGGAGTGCGTATGTCCTACATTGAGTAGTATGAGATGTTTAGTGGAGTATTTAAGTGCTTGGTTCTTCCCCCTTAATTAACTTTTGAGGGTAGGTTTCCTTAGTGAGCTTCTCACTTTGTGTATATTTTATTCATGTATTTTATGTATATATAGAGTAAAAATATAACAAAATATCAAATATTAATAATATCTCAATCATAATTACCTAAATTTAAATTAAAATAATAATGTAATATCTTTTTCTCTTATTTTGAAACATAATAAAAATTTCTAAATACCTAATTTAAATAAAAAAATAATAAAACATATTCCCAATAATGCTTGGATACTTATCAGAGGTAGCTGTAAACCCAAAAGGGTTGTGTCCATTCAGAATTAGCTATTTTGGGGAAAGGGAATTAGAGGAGAGAGAATTATGTCAGGGGAGGGAATATGAATTGTGTGGGATATCGTGGGATTTGGAATTGATTGGAGTTCAAAGATCTTCTCTAACTTGGGGGAGCTCTACTCATTCATTTTTGTAATTTTCTTTTTTTATCCTTTCGAATACAATTCGTATCATTCTCTGTTAGGAATTATCTTAACAGTAGCTCATTGAAGCTCTGTTGGCTCCTTAACTAGAGGCTGTTGAAGATCATGGTCAGCTGGCAGAGTTGATGCTTAGACTTCTGCATTAACAGATATATGGAGGAGTTAGGAAATGGAATGTGTCCCTATGAGTTGATGCTTATACTAATTCTAGATTCCTGATCCTAAGAAATATATTGAATACTTTTTCATATATTCTAACATTTATTGGGGATAAATAGAGCATGGTTTATGTGCGCAAGTCGAGTGAGTTATTAGTGGAACGTTTTCTTACACCTGCTTTATATAATAAGCTGGATATATGCTAGTTCTTTTTCTGTAAATTATGACAGACTGATTTTGTAGCTCAAAATAGAAATCAATTAGGAAACTAGAAAAATTCTTATAAAATTAAAATTGTTTGGAAACAGAACATAAATTACTATGCGATCATAGGGCCTTTTGCTAATAATTTTACCCACATCAGAAAAATAAATAGACAGAAAAAATCTTTTTCTCTCTTTGATTAGATTTATTTTATCTTTACACAAGATTGACTTTTGAGGAGAAAAACGAAATATGCGTCAAGGGTAGTTGACGTGTTTTCTTGTTTATTTTCCTTAAATTGCATTGCTTCCTACTCTATATGCGTGGTCTGCAATTTATTTTTCTCATTATTTATTCAAGAGTTTAGACACTATCTGTGTTACTTGATCCTAAAATACTGAACCAATGCAATGGAACTTGAAGGAATGCATCAGAAGACGAGTTATGAAATCATTGTCTGCAAATCCTTATTGCTCTGGTGTGGCCAAGGCTGCTCTGGAATCTGTATGGGATGTTTGTTACAATGATACAGAGCCTTACGACAGAGCTCTCTAAGAACTGCATGATTGTTAATGGTATTTACCATATACCTGCATCGGGCACCATTTTGAGCTTGGAACTTTTAATGTGAAGGTTAACTAGCCAATTCGATTTGAGATGGTTGCATTGTATCGGTTTATATGTAGGAAATTAATTGGAATGTATATCTAATTATGCATTGACATTTATAGATGATTGATTTTTGTAATAATTTTAGAAGTTAAACAAGTGATATCTAATTAGGTGATGAGTGAACTTATATAAATATGAAAATGTTATACATTTATGATTTTTTTCCCATTAACAAGTTAATCAAGTGTACAAGTCTTGTACAAAATGATGGTTGAGATGGAAATAGGTGCTCATATATTCAACTACGAATATATGAAATTTAAAGACAAGCATGTTCACCCATTTAATACAAGATTGCCTCTGTTGTGTTTCATTTTGTTTTGAAACATTATAAATAAAAAATGGTGAAAATAAAGTAAAAATTAAATGGAATTTTAATAATTATTGGAAATAAATAAAAACCATTTATTGAAATTAATTAGATATAGATTTGACATAATTTAATTCAAATCTCACATAATTATTGACAATGTTGAAAAACTGTTCCAACAAACTGTGGTCCATTGATTGCCCACTAGCCACCAATAGACTTTGCTAATGTCGTTGACTCCTGGTGGTCGTCTTCTTCTGGTAAAGGTGAGCTTGAGTCATGTTTGATCAAATTTGCTATTATCTTTATTTGATAAAAAGTTGCTTAGCCGATGAATTTAAATTCATTCTAATTAAGATCAGAAATAAATGGGATACTATATACATTTTAACATAATATATTGTTAATTAAAAAATAAAATAAACGAATTATAAAATTTAAAGTAAATATATTTAAAAGTTAATAATTTGATTATAAATATAATATTCGGTTATACAAAATGTGTTTTATTAAATAAAAAGTTTTATTTCTGATACACAATTGTTAAAAAAAACTTATATTTTAAAAAGAATATTTACATTACACCGGGTTGGAATAAGCTAGAACGTAACTCTAACTCCTTTTAAAGAATAAATAAAATTTATATTCAGTTTCAAACTCTTTCCAAATTTCGAACCATTTGAACCAGGTATGTAAGGAGTTGATTGCATACCAGACCGGTCTAGTAACTTACCTGGAAATGACATTGTCCTAGTGCTGGTGCTGGGGCTGTCATATTATTTATAAAAAAATCTATTTCATTTTTCTCGTGTTCCTACAAATGCTTAGGTTTTATAATTGTAATTCTTTTCCTTTTTCTAATTGATTTTATCCTTAATCCCAACAATAATTTTTTATCTTCTGTAAGAAAAAGTAAAAATGAAAATAAATAATCTTTATAAGTTAAAATTAATTTATGTACAAACTAAAGTATGATTTTGAAGAAAATAATTCATTAGAAATATACTTTGGTTAGTTTCTCCTATAGATGCTTACAGACTTTATTCAAACATTATATTTGTTTTATCTCTAATCCTTGGCATGAAATTGTTCATGAATTTTCTTCCTCACACTTTAAGCAAACAGGACAGGAGACTCTATATAAGGCCGCAGGAACACGTGGTCAAATCGGCATTGCTTTATTCCTTTTGAAGGGTTGATAGTTCAATTCTCTGCACAATAAAGAAACCGAAGAGGGTAACATGTCACGCACACAAACCGATACTGTTTTCATTTCCCATATCAGCATGTGCCACATCAACCCATGACTCCTTGTCTCTCTGTTCAACCTTTGTTGCATATAAAACACAACCTTTTAAAGGAGAAAAGAAGTGAAATGATATGAAGAAGGTTGAACATGAAGGTGGTGAGGTTGCTTAGAGTGGTTCTTTGCTTAATCTTCCTCAGTCCGTATGCAACATTGTCTTTCAGACAGCTCCACCTTTCAGGTATATACATATATATTTATTTACTCATAAAATGCATTCTTACTTTGGGATCATTCAGTTCAAGATGTGTATAATAGCATTTGAGTGGTTGACTTGAAGGTTCAGAAAGACTGCAATAACATGAATAGCTGCAACAAATGATAGGGAAAAAGAACTTTCCTGGATTGTGGCATGAAGATTATTCTATGCCTCAGAAACGAAACAGTAACTTAGACCCTCAGTGATGTTTATGTTCAGCCTTTTCACACGTTTCCCAAAAACCTAAATGGTTGTAGTAATGTGATTGTAAGTCTATTTTAGGCAATAACTTAACATAGTATGCCTCTTCACATGAATTCTTGTATGTTGTCAGCACATCTTCATGTTGGTGTTGTCATTGGCCTCACTTAGAATGTATCTTTACTCCAGTAGTGTTAAAAGTATGATAACGACATTAGCGGTGGATTTTATTATAAACTAAAGATTCATGTTTCCTCTTAAGTTTTATAATTTTAATATAATTTATGATTTTGGCTTTTCAAATTTAATTATCATTTAATATATTTACTTATATATTTATAATTTTATTATTTAATTATTCTTTTAATAATTCTCATATAATTTTTAATTTTAGTCCTTTAAACTTAATAATTATTTAATATATTTATATTTTTATTATCTTATCCTTTTCATCTTATTTTAGTCAACATGTTAAGGTTTACATATATTTCAAAATTTGGAAGAAGTTGTTTATTTATTAGTGGAAATAGAATAAATTGGCACTACTTTAACTATTTTTGTGATTATGCTAGTTCAAACTTTCTGGTTGGCATTTTTTGATGTTACAGTCAAGGACTAATTTGACCAACATTTGCTGAAAGAATTTGAATATACTTTTATTATGTTGTAAAACTTATATATGAAACAAATAAGAGAGATGATATATTATAGTTTTAGATAAGATAACTTAATTAATTATCTCCTAGAAATAGGGTGAAACAAATCATAATTGTGTATTATTTGTAGGGGTGTTGAAATAAGGTTAGTATGATACTAATATGAAAAGTCATAAAAATATATTAGGTTAGACAAAAAAAAAATTATAACCTAAATAAAATTAGACAAAATTTGGTCCGACCTATTTAGATTAGGTTTAAATTAGGCTAACCCATAGACTTATGTGGTGACCCGTTTTATAAAATAATTATTTTATAATAAAATAAAAGTAATATTATTTTATCGAGAAAATATAAGTATAATAAAATAATTTGATAATATATTTTGTTATATATATATATATATATATATATATATATAATTTAGAAAGAATAATAAAATCTAAACATAATCTTCATTTACTTTTATTATCTCCTTCCTCTTTATTGTTGTTGTTATATTTGTTTTTAATGACTAATAATTTAAGATAATATGTTCTTAAATATAGTGTATTTCTAAAATATCATCGGGAGTTATGTTGAATAGTAAAACTAGTTTATTGAAGTAATGAAAATTTGACTCTAAAATTTATCGAGCATGATTTTCAATTTAGTTATGTTAAGTATGACAAAATATAGGAGGTAAATAAAGTTTTAAATCATAATTTTAAACAAATTACTAAAAACAATTCAATTAACGTATTATCTAATATTTTTTGATAAGATATTTTAAATCAATCACTAAAAAACCTTGAATTACATATATTTATAATGTATATTAATTAAAAAAAAATAAAAATATGTGTTATTTAATATTTTTAGTAAGATATATTTGACTTCATATATGATAAATATAAATGTTTAAGGCTATATAAGCTCATTCTTATAATTTTATATATTTAAACTTATTTTACTGAATAAGTTATGAGTTAATTTTGAATAAATAAATAAATAAATAATATTTTTTTAAACAAAATAAAAAAAAATATAATTATTTTTAATTAGACCAAAAATATCTGTTAACCCGTTAATTTAATATAGACCAAAATTTTTAGTCTATTTTAAAATACAGATCAGAATTATTAATTTTTTTTTATTTAGTCTATAATACTAAATCAAGCCAACTACCCATTTTTACAGAAATAATTATTTGGACCTTTAAAAAGAGTTACACCGTGATGGTTAATTATAATTTTTGCATAATACATTAGTTCTCAGGTGAAAGAGAAATCATTTGAACCAAAACACAATTCAAATAATTTAATAAAATTATTTTTGCAAAAATCAATAAGACAGTTTACAATCAAACCAACTTGGTCCCAACTCATATATCATTAGTTTTTCCTGAACCAAGTCAAACTCAAATAAATAATGATATAAAAATTTGAGTAAGATAAAAATAAATAAAAAAATATTTTTCGTATAATATTGATATGAAAAAAAGTCAATTAAAGGTGAAAAGGATATAATTTGAAACAAACCTATTCTAAGCCATTGCATGACAGTCAGATTTACCTCTGTAATTTTATTCTGTTGCACGTAGTTCTGCAATAAGGCATAGGCCAAAAGCAACACTACAAACAAAAAGTAGCAGAGAAAGACCAAAAGCAACGAAAAATATTAAAAAAGAATAGAAATATCCTGTTCCTAGAAGAGAAAGGTAAAATTGTCTTCCCTGAAATTGCTATCTGTACTCAGAGGTTGAGCATGCAATGCAATCTACAGTAAATTTGCAGTTTCCATAATGTTCCAACAGCAACCATGCATGTTCAGATAGAATCACTTCTTCATATTCATATTAAATTCTCATGTGAATTATTGGAGACAATCTTGTGATATGTTTATTTCCAAATATTACAGTGTCAATATCAGGTGGTGACAAGTCACTTCCTGTTCTTCCCTTGTGTCAGATTAATCTTGGTGTATGGTACCACATACCCATCCAAGAAAATTTTGGTATCTCCTCATGTGCATCTCTAAATAATAAATAAATATACCAATGGAATATTATTTTAAAACACAAGTAGATATAAGATTGTAAGATATGCTTGTATTATAAAATAGTAAGGTCTAAGTATATTTTAAGTTATTAAATTTGGAGTAATTTGTGTTTTGATTTCTCAAGTTTAATGCTTTTATTCTTAAATTGAAAAAAAAATTCCTTAGATATTAAATTTGAAAAGTTAAAAATAATTTTAAACTTACATTTCTAAAATTTAAAAACTCTTTTTAAGTAAGAAAACATAATTAAGGATTGAGATTATGTTTTTTAATTTTAAAAAATCAATAGACCTTTTTTTCTAAATTTAAAAAACTAAAATTAACATTATTTTAAATTTGAGTATTTTGATTATTTACCATAAGTTCTATTTTTTTTTATAAAAGTAAGGATTTGGAATTTTTTTTTTATATTTTCTATTTGACTTAATCTCCAAGTGATATTTTGACTCACTTTTATCGTTTCAACATGGATTGAACTAATTCAACATGAATTAGCTTGGACTTGACTCAGTTTGACTTGATCAAAACCAACTTGACAAGTTTTAACTATCATTGAATCATTTCAACTCGATTGCTCTCAATTTGGTCTATTTTATATTGACTTAACTTAATCTATATTGATCAAATTAAACCCATCATAATCTGAATTGTCCTAACTTAATAATCATTCACGATTAGTTTAAACTCAACTACCTAAAGGAGGTTTGACTTATCCTAATCCAACTTATCACAACTACATTATGATTTAACACGATTCATCTCAATTTTGACCCTTCCTAACCCAATCCATCTTGTTTTTGTTTGATCCAACTTATCTAATCTTAGTCTATTCTATCAAATTACTACATAACTTGACCAATATGGACCTACCTCAACTTGATATAATTTAATTTTTCCTAATCCAACTTAACTTATCGTAACATAGTCTAACACGACCCAACTCATCATAATATTCTAGTCTAATTCGAGTTGATCCAACCTTCCAGACCTAATATAATTTGTCTTGATTGGGTCAATCTTATGAATTTGGTTTATTTCAACCTCATTTGATTTAATGTAATTGGTCATTGTTTGCTTTGATCAACCTTATCAATATGAATAAGGGCAAGTATTATAAATTGGACCTAATTTACAATATAATTTTGATAATGATTATATGATAATAATTAAAATATTTTATCCGAATAAAACAAAAGTTAAATTTTGATAAATTTGAATTGTTTTATTCAAACAAATTATCTAAAAAAATTAAATCATTTTAATTAAAAAAATTCAAATTTAGTGTAATATATAATATCATTCAATAATAATTTATCCCAACACAATATTAATGTACATGTAACTTCCTTTAATAATTATTTAAATAAGAAAAACCATAGTTTTAATTTTAAAAAAAATACTAATATTCCTTTTTGCGTATGAAAAAAATAAAGATAAATTTGCTTTAAAAAAATCTGTATACTAACAACATCTTCAACATGTTATTTAAGTCGTTGTTTAGCAAAAAAATTACCTGTATCTAACAAGAACCATTGGAGTTGATTACTTGTAGAAGCAACTTTGTTTAAAAAAAAGAAATAAAAAATAAAAAAATTATCTCGCATAGAACATTTTAATTGAAATGATTTAATATCAATTTTTATTTTACGAATTTTTTTGTTCTTTTTAATGATAAAGTAATCAACTACTTATTTTTTTTATTATTGTGACTTTATGTTGAAAAATTTGAAAATAAAAATCTTTTGTTTAAATATTCATCATATTCAAAATTTTAAAAATATTAATATTATTATAATTTTATAAAAAAATTATTATTTTTATCTTTTTTTTTTTAATTTTATAATTAAAACGAGTTACTATTTTAAGCATTAGATTAAAAAAAATACACGATAAGTAGGAAGGTCAATATATTATATATCTATTGACCCTGGATGGGTTACAATATTAGTAGTTAAAATATGTCATACTCATTTGAAAATTAATGAATGGTTTGAGTTTGTGAGATAGTTATTAAACATTTAATGTTTATAATGTATTTTTTAATCTATTAAAGTACAAAATACTTATATTACAATTATTAAAGTATCTTGTACTTTAATAAGTACAAAAAGAAATTAAAATATTTAATGTTCTAAATCTACCCCGACATACTTTACCTTAAAAAATCATACATACGTAAAATTTCATAATCAACCTTAAAAAATCATACATATGTAAAATTTCATAATCAATTACAGTAAAATTCTTTTTGTGACAATCCAATTTCTAATTATTACTAATGTGACGTATGTTTTTTATTTTGTAAGAAAACTATGTACAGTACAATTTTTTTCTTTTATATGTTTAAAGGGGGAGAAATGGTTTCTGTGGGAAATTCTTCCTCCCATATCACATGTTTCTTATTCTTCTTCTATTGTCTAAATTTCAAGCAATGAGACTCTACTCGTGCAGGATCTGGTGAAACGGGAGAGAACTTGAATTAAGTGGAAAAACTTCGGTAAAAATACCATACAAGGTAAAGGTGAGTTTAATTCATTCAATATATGAAATTGAATTGTTGGGTACTCTGTGAATACCGTATGAATAAGGAATATGAGTAGAGATATGAATTATTTGAATGTTTGATTTTGAAAAATTTATGATTTTGGATGCACTGTTCATGGTTTGAAAGTTTTTGAAATTCTTAAAATTAAGGATGAATTATATGGTAAAATTGTTGTTTTCAACTTAAATTAGATATAATTCATGTTTAATTTGAATTTGGGACTAGTTTGGTTGTCTAAAACTGAGTAATTTGAAATCCGTCAAAATCTGCAAAATTTATTATTGTTACTCGTGCGAGGAAAAAGAAAGGGACATGGAAGAAATTTTCGAAAATATCCAAGGGTAAAATAGTCATTTTTGGGACATGGAAGGAATTTTTGAAAATGTTCAAGGGTAAAATAGTCATTTTACATCCTAGGGACATAAATGGAATTTTTGAAAATGTTCAAGAGTAAAATAGTCATTTTACATCCTAGGGACATAAATGGAATTTTCAAAACTCGTCCAAGGGTAAAATAGTCATTTTCGGGACATGGAAGGAATTTTCGAAAATGTCCAAGGGTAAATTAGTCATTTAGGGACATACATGGAATTTTCAGAAAAGATTAAGGGCAAAATAGTAATTTAATGATTTCGAAAAAGATTTCGGAAAATGATTTCGGAAAAGATTTTGGAAATGATTTTGGAAATGATTCCAGAAATTATTTCGGAAGTGATTTCGGAAATGATTTCGGAAAAGAAGAAGAAGAAGAAGAATATATATATATATATATATATATATATATATATATATATATTTAAAATATAGAATGAATGTAGCAGCTTTTAAGATTCGAGTAGTGTGTTGTGACGTGTGTAGGTCGAGTCGAGTCTAAGGGTTGATACCCATAATCAGTCATGAGATGTTATGTATTGACTAGACTGAGCTAGAGGGTTGATGCCCAGAATCAGTCACGTACTATTATTTATTGACTTGAATGAGCCGTGAGGACAGATGGTCCAAAATCAGGCAAATGTGAATGATTTTTGTTGTGTTTGAATGGTACCCAGGGTGGTACAAAGTACATTAGTGTAAATGTAATAACTATGTCGGAGGATTCTGAATAAGGTCCCAGACTTCACTGATTGGTCGAGTCAGGTAGACTACGAGATCAGGTGGTGAGAAGTCGATGAAGGGATGGTTGGTGGCGCGCTCGGAGGGGTACTCCAGTATGAGTGATGAAGGGCGCCAGTAATCCTACTCTGTGTGGAGGGTGGTCAGAATGGTACTGCGGGTGCCGATCACAATGTGTCCACAGATGATAGCCTCTGAGTTTAGGCATAATTAGGGTATACTTCCGGAAGGTGTCTTAGTGTGTTGATGATTTCGTAATTGATCATAATATATAATTATTACTTTTATATCTGTTTTATTATATCGAATGATTTAATACTTACCCCTATTTTTCCATGTGGATGGGACTGCGATTATCACTTTTATGTGGGAGAAGATCAGGAGTTGAGAGATGGAGATGTGACTACTAGACAGTAGAAATAGTTCAGTGGGATAGCTTCGAAGGAGTTACTTTTACATGTATAATATATAAATAAATTATGTTACTATATTTTAAAGTTAGTTAGTGAACCGGAATTTCAATCTATATTAAAATTACAGTAATATGTAATATAATATAAGATAAATGTCATTATTTACTTATTTACTATTATGCGAAAACATCATTATAGTAGCGATTTTTAGGATCGTTACACCTAACATACTTAAATTCAAGTAAAGAATATCATATTTAATTCAAGGAAAGAATATCTATTATATACAAATATGGGATAACTTAGCATGAAATATTTTTCCAACGTGACTTCTAGTTGAAATAATCTTTATTCAAATTTTACTTATTTTCCGGTTAAGTAAATTTGATTTCAAACAAAATCTTAGTACACTTGTAATGGTAAATTATATTCATGAAAAAAAAAACTGAACTAAATATTTTTTTTTTTTTCAAATTTTCACGTCTTAATTTTTATATTTCTCAAATGTTTAATTGCACAATTATATTTCTTTTTAAACTATTTATTACTCACTCTATCTTTCTCTGAAAATGCACATACACATACACATTACTGCAAAGGTCTCAAATAATGGTTATTTGAAAGTATATTGTTATTGCTAAAATTCACGTTACAAACTGCATATATGACAACAGAAGATGAATTGATGGAGCAAAATCTGCCATGGCGGTGCAACGCAGTGATGGAAAGGGAAATATTGGGAGAGTTGAAGCACATGGTTTATCACACAAACCACGTATAGAGTCCACGCTCAACCGACCAAAGTAGCAAACATTTATTTATGGGATAACCGCATTTAACTGCATGAACAAGGTTTGTCACGAAACGTGTTTGGCAATAACTCAACTTTCCTTCGTTTATATGCTTTCTGCATTTGGATGTTCCTTAGACCGTGTTCTCTTCGGTTCTGTGCCACCCTTTGCTCTTCCCCCTGCGTCTCTCTTCTTTTCCTGCCGGCAACGCCAAGATGTATAAAGTCACCGTTGTTGGTAGCGGCAACTGGGGCAGTGTTGCGGCAAAGCTTATTGCATCCAACACCGTCAAGTTTGGTTCTTTCCATGGTACTGTTTCTTTGCTTAACCATGTTTTCTGTTGCTTAAAATGCAGCGTTTTCTGATATTTAATCCTTTTTAATCAAAAGAAGAAGAAATAATTGTTCCAGAAAGTTAGCTGCACTGTTTGGATACTTTTGTTACAGTTCTATGATGAAATTCAGAGCTTCACTTTGATACAAGCGTCCACTCTTGATGTATAAGAACACATTTTTATATATCTAATAAAAAAATGCTTTTAATTTCTTAATGGGTAACTTAATTAAGAATACTTGTTAGCATTAAAAATGTTTTTATTAAAATCACATGAACATACATTAAAAAAACTGAGAGAAGACATTTTTATTATCTTCATAAAAAAGTTCACTTTCAATATCTTAATTGTTATATTCCGTATAGCATTTGCTTACTAGGACTTGCATACTCAAAACTGAAGAACAATCTAACTGCATAAAATAGTTTTATGCTACTATAAGGCTACTCTTTTTGCACTCTCTAAAGCGTTCTCCTCGTCTCGTTTTGGCTATGCATGCAATGTGCACAACATTAATTATCAGTTAGTGGTCTCTGCTAATTATGTGTCTTCTGGGTTGTGTGGGTCTTGAATTTGTAATTTGATATTCCACGTTATGCTGCTGTTAATTGCACTTGCCATAGGAATCATACCTGCTATCCTCTCAACTCCCCTCGCCATAAACATTAAAATTTCAATTTTGATGTTACTTTTCCCATTTCGATTAATGAATTCTCGGATTTAATCAGATGAAGTGAGGATGTGGGTGTTCGAGGAAAAATTACCAAGCGGAGAGAAGCTCACAGAAGTTATCAACAAAACCAACGTAAGGGCCAGTCAAGCATTTCATTCCCTTTGTGTATGCATTTTTTTTTTTTCAATCAATATTAAATAATTTATTGTTCTTTTTTCTAGGAAAATGTTAAGTATCTCCCTGGAGTTAAGCTTGGTAAAAATGTAGTTGCAGATCCAGACCTTGAAAATGCAGGTACTAAACAAATTGTTCACTTTTTTCAAAAATAAAATTAAAACCACAACGTTGTACCAAATACCATAAGAACCAAGATTGACTAAAAAATCCATAAACATGTACAGTTGTTTAATTTTTCTTTTTTAAGGGTGTTTTATGGATAACTTGCCTTCTGTTCTGAATGGTTGATTATGCAGTTAAGGATGCCAACATGCTGGTATTTGTAACTCCACATCAATTCATGGATGGAATATGCAAGCGGCTTGCAGGGAAGATAAGGGCTGATGCAGAGGGGATTTCTCTCATCAAAGGGATGGAGGTCAAGAAGGAAGGGCCAAGCATGATCTCTAATCTCATTACCAAACAACTAGGAATCAATTGTTCAGTTTTAATGGGGGCCAACATAGCAAATGAGGTAGCTAGAGGATATTACAAGCCTGTTTAATCTACATACTTAGGACAACTTATAATTAACAACTTCTGCTGTGCTGTTTACTGTTTGAACAGATAGCAATGGAGAAATTTAGTGAAGCAACAGTTGGATATAATCAAAACAAATCAGCAGCAGATAGATGGGTTCAGTTGTTTTGCACTCCTTATTTCAATGTGACAGCTGTGAGTGATTAGCAACAAACTAGTGAAAAGCTTGAACAAATATTTCTCAATGGGAAAAAAGATGGCTAAATTCCTAGAAAGCTTATTGTAATCAGTAATAACATGAAATATTTCTTTACTAATCGTGAGTTGTTTTAAACTAGTAAGTTCTGAGATACACTTCAAGCATATGATTCGTGCATTATCATTAATAGATCCAGGATGTTGAAGGCGTTGAACTCTGTGGAACTCTAAAAAATGTTGTCGCCATAGCTGCAGGTTTGCAATACAGTACATTAATATTTGCAATTTGTTCTCCCCCTTTTATAGTTTGTGTGAATGATCAAGAAATTGCATGCAAATGGGACAGGTTTTGTTGATGGCTTGGAGATGGGAAATAACACAAAAGTAAGTTTAAAGGATTTGATGCCTCAGAAAAGTCAACCCCCCCCCCCCCCCCCCTCTCTTTGTTTTTTTTGTTTGTTTTCTTATTTTATGCATACATGTAGGCTGCAATCATGAGAATTGGCCTGAAAGAAATGATGGCATTTTCAAAGATGTGGTTTCCATCTGTTAAGGATAGCACCTTTTTTGAGAGCTGTGGTGTAGCTGATCTTATCACAACATGCAGTAAGGACATTGATTGACTTTACCTTATTTTTCATTGGTTATATATCTTGGTTTCACTAAAATCATATTATTGGTGGCAGTGGGAGGGAGAAATAGGAAAGTTGCTGATGCTTATGCCAGAAATGGAGGGAAGAAGTATGTTTTTTCTTTTCTAGTCCACAATGCTTGGATGAGTAAAGGAAAATATAGTTTAATTTTGTCCTATCTCATTTATATGTTTCTTTTCTGCAGGTCTTTTGATGAGCTTGAAGCAGAGATGCTTCATGGCCAGAAATTGCAGGTACATAGATGAAACTTAACGTACCAACCTAATAAATATATCTATCTTAAACAATAAAAACCGGGTATTGATTTCCATATCCATCACAACCTCTTTCTACAACAAAGTAAAACAAAAGAGCAGTATACCGTAATGATTCATGCACAAGACATTAGTTGCTTATGAATGTTTCTTTATGCATCCATTTTTCTTCCATAAGGGTGTCTTAACTGCACAAGAGGTTCATGAGGTCCTAAGAGATCGCGGATGGCAACACATGTTTCCTCTCTTCTCAGCAGTGCATGCAATCAGCACAGGTCGTCTTCCACCATCAGCCATAGTTAAAATCAGTGAAGAGAAACCCAGGTAGACTCTAGATTATAGTCTCAGAGAAGTGATATTTCATGTTAAGAAATAAGTACTAGTGTTAATATGTACAGTTACAATCTTAATCTGTAGGCATGTACAGTTACAAAGCTCGCTTTAGATGTATTTTGTTGTAAAAACCTCACAACAATGAAGATCACACGTACAAAGATAGGACAGGACATACTCACAAGGTTTTTCCTAGGAAGGTAACTCTAATTCAAATTTCTTATAAAGTTGCAGTCCATGCAACAGGCTGCAAAAATGCAGCAAAAGAGATTTGAATCTATCTAATACTGATAGCAGTTTCCAATTTAGAGATTGTTAAACTATCCATGTGTTTTTAATCCCTATATATACGAAGCAATTGCTTCCAGATTTTGTATCTTGTAATGTCCCATCTGAGATTAATATATTGTTTACACATTCTTCATTTTGAATTCCTCCTTTACACTCATTTCTTTGGTACTGGTATGTTAACTAGGCGCAATTAACATTTGTTGTCAACTGGTATTTAAGAACTTGAGACAACGCAATTGATCAAAATCTAATTATTGAATTCGATCAATTTAATTGTGTTTAATAAAAAATAAAATTACTTACAATAATTATATTTATTAATATATTATTTGATGTCTAAATATTAATTTTGATGATTTCCTTATATTACTACGTTTTTTATATTTTTCAAATTAATTACTTTAAAATATATTTTATCAACAACATTAATTAAGATTATATATATATATATATATATATATATATAAATTATTACACCGTTAATAACTTAAAAGAAATTTGTTGATCTAATCATTAAATTATAGTTATATCATCACCAATATTTATATCAAATTTCTGAAAATTGGTATATTTTGAAAAGTACACAAAAAATCGATAAATCGATTTTGATATATGTGAATAAGAATGAGACCGTGCTTTGAGTCAGCCAAAAAAATGACCATCTAGCAGGTGCTAAAAGAAAATGAACGCTCCAGAATTTTCCCAGAGAAATTTCTCCTGTGGCACACCACGCTCACATGATATGTTGGTTTGATTTTTGATCAGATACTACTAATAACTATGATTCTCTATTTAAGTTTTGTCATTTTCTTAAAATTTAAACACAATACGACACTTGATCATAATCTGGAAGCTATCCTACAAAAGTGTCTGCAATTTCTAGTTTCAGCCTTCTTCAATAATTTAAATCGAAGACATTGAATAAACAAGCATACAAAACAGTACATGAGAAATATAATAATTTATAGCAACTCATTATTGCAATAAAACAAAATACATTAATACCTCCGGACACAACTGACAAAAGAAGTCTCTGTTGTTGCTGAAGGCTCTGGAACACAAAGAAAGAATATATAATTTTTTCCAAAATTCAATGCTCAAGCTTCTCTTTTTTGTATGCCTGATTTGGCGTTGCTGTGTAAATTGTTCATATTTATGTATCTCCTCAGATCTCAGATGAGTTTGCTATTTCAGCATTACGCTTATGTAAACTTTTAAGACTTGAAACAAAACACTCGGTGAAAGCTAAAATAAAGTGAAAATGCAAATTTAGTGAACCTTTTTGTAAATCTTTCGATAAAATAATTTAAGATAATTTTAAAAGATTAAATAAAGTACTGAAATGTTAGTAGCATTTCTTGGATAAGGACTTAGTGCACACAGGGAGAGTGCAAGAGAGTTAGAGAGGCCACACCATCCGAATGAAAAGTGAATCTCAGTGTAACACCAAACCCTTTTCTTCAATGCGAATAGTTATCATATCTGATATAAACCATACTACACAACCAGATGACCAATATAAAAATGAAAAAGAACCCCATTAAACCAGCCCATGCATGAATATATAATTTTTTTCTATGAGAAGAATTTATCCGGTTCTTATTCTGTCCAGCCGATCAACACTCTTCCTGGCTTTCTCTAATTGATGATCAATGCTTTTCCTAGACTTCTCGTGGCAATCCACACTTCTCCGCGACCTTTCCTTATGATCAAAAGTCATTCTCAATTTCTCTAACATATCAGCATTATTAGACAAGTTTTTCAGCTTTTCTGGCCTGTCTGTGCTCTTCCTTGGTTTTTCTCTGCGATCAGTGCTCTTTCTACTTACTTCAAAAATATCTGTACTCTTTCGAGGCTGCTCAAACTGATCTGTGCTCCGCCGGAAACTGTATCGTTGTGATGGAGACTTCTCAACTGTTGTTATAAACTTCTTCAGATGCCTGATATACTCAGGAAAGAGCTCCAAATCACAGTGGTTACCTCCTTTGAGCCACAGTGGTTCGTATTTCTCTTTACACAGTTCCCAGAGTTGCTTGCCATGAGAGCAATCTACAACTTCATCTGAAGTACCCTACACAATGACATAAATGACTAAATGACGTGATGGGTCATTGCTATTGCAAGATTTTAAATTTTATAGGGATTCATTTTCATCATTTATGTGGATATGTATGCATTGTAATTTGAACTTCAAATGCTCTTTCCATCCTAATTCCACGGCAGCACATTCCATAATCTTACACTGGGATTATTGACCTCTAATCCATTTAGGTTCAAGAACATAGCAGAAAAGCACATGGTAACAAACGTCAAGAGTGTGAAGGTATTTCGTTTAATTTAGTAATTATGCAATGGTCTGAAATATGGAAAATATTTTAATCACGAGAATTGAGAAATCTTATGCAAGAAAGGTTCCCTAAAAGGATGACACTGCCTGCATGACGCGCATAGACAATCTCAATAATGTCTGATGCAAAGTTCTTTTTAACTATATAGTAGACACGTATAGCAATCAAGGCTGAATACTGTATAAGTACAAAACCATTGGCATTTTAACCGCAATCTTGCTTCCAAATTTACAGATATATTGTTCAGAAAACAAAATAGTGGATCAATGCATGAGGCAACACCATGAACATTTTTAGGGAGAACCTATGAATTGTGATGCTGGATCAGCAGCATGAATCCATTACCAGTAGGTTGCAATCAAAAGCAGCAACCTTATCTGACGTAGATTGGATTGTTAGTTTATGCTATTTTTTAATTAGGTTTTAGTTTGGTAAGATTTTAACTAGGAGATTATTTTCTTATTTAGGGAGCACTTCAGCCTAGAGGAGTACTCTAGGTTTATCAGGGGAGTAGCCTGCCAAGAGGAACACGGTTGGCCATTGGCATAGCTGCAGGCTCACACTCTACAATTAAACTCTTCCTGAATAAATTTATCTGTAAGGGGCAGTTTGGTGACATGTTACTCAAAGTGCTTGGCCAGAAGAGCGTATCATAAGGCACATGACTTACAAAAATTCTATCAGTAAATAGTTAAGTGTATTACATATAATAATTAAGCACATTATCCATATCGAAGTAAACTAAAGAAGAATTCCATGTTTTGCACAGTGCAAACAAAAAAAAAGCAAAAAGGGAGACAGAGAAGTAAAAGAGAATAGGTGACTGAGAAAAATGAAGAAAGCTAAGTCCCCCGGTTCACTAAGAAGTGTGACACATCAATTGAGAAAATGGTGGCTGGATAGTTTTTATATGGCAATATATTAATATGCTTTTATTAGAGTATTCTATCCTTCTATCACATGTCTGAACAACATAAAAAAGGTGCTTGACATACTGTGCTGAATGTTTTTGCGCCTAATAGTCAGAATGAAAACAAATTTAAATACTTAAAGTAGAGATATATTTAAGAAAAAAAAAATAATAGAAGGCAAACTAGGCTGGGGGTGTGAACAATGAATAACCAAGGATTATAAACAAAAAGGATGTTAGTAAAGTATCCCTGATAAACGTAGCAAAGAAAAATATGTCAGAAGAATGCAACTAATCCAGAAGCTAAGCCTATACATCTAAATTGACACATGCAGGCATGTAGCACAAGAAATATCTTTGAAGCATACTTACATGAATTATGAGAACTGGACAATTAACTAGCGGAATTTTGTCAATATTCTGCACATTAACATAAAAAAGCATCTTATTAGATTAAGGAATTCAAGTATATGATAAGAAGTGAAAACAGGATAATACCTTATATATGTCAAACCAGTATGTACGCTTTACTGGATACATAACCCTTAAGCCAGAAAGTATGGGACTGTGCAGAACAACGGCTCTTAATTGAGGCAACCTAGCTGCAAGATCCAAAGTTGGGCCACTGCCAACAGATTGTCCATACAGGATTATATCTTCCTGCTTGGCACCATAACTTTCTTCTAGACACTTGTATGCCGCCTCAATATCTGAATATGTATTCTGCTCACTTGGCTACAGTTCAGGGAAAACAATGTTTTTCATCAGCATGGATGTTAGTATTACAACTCTAACACCATCCAAAATGCACAACACAATACAACATGAACTACCAATTTCATGTGTTAACTAAACACAAACCTTCCCCGATGACTGGCCGTACCCAGAATAGTCATACCTGCAACCAACATCATAGATTGCCGTGAGAAAACCTCCCAATTCAGATTCCATCTTTCAGGTCGCGCTCAATCAACAACATTCACTCTAAACAATTGCTCTACATATAATGTATAAGTATTTTTCAGAATATTTCTCCACATAGGGTAGTCCAGTATCAGCAAAATAAATCATCTTCACAAAGTTAAAGCAACAAGTTACTCTGCTTGTGTTACTCTAATGCCATAATTCAGAACTTGAAACACAAAACTGTAGAGTAACACCCTGTATGGATAAATATCCTAATAAATATTTATGAGACAAAATAACAAAGTATAAATGAAATAAGCTTTTTTTTTTTAAGTTAAAACTAACTTATAAATAAATTAATTTGCAGAAACTAACGTATTTAGAATCTCACAAAAAGTTGTTCTAATTTATACATAAGTTAACTTTAATTGATAAAAAAAGTATAATTTATTTTACCTTATTAATAATGAAAATTTGTAGGAACAGAACAATTCATTTTATGTTGTTACGTTCTCCTTTTATAAGTGCTCACGAAGAGACTTATCCAAACAAAACCTTAGTTCTCTCATAAGTAAGTTTATCCAAACAAAGTGTCGCACATGTCTAGATAGGTAATCTACTCACAACAATTAATTAACAATTAATTACAAACGCACTGCAGTAAGGTGGTTTCCACATATGCAATTTCAACAAAGTCCAATAACTGATTTCTTAAGTAAATTGTCAAAGGTTAGAAAGGGCTTACTTCGTAAACTTCTATACAAAACACTCTTAGAAGAAGAAAATAAAAGGAGAAAACAATATAATTTTATTCATAAAGCTAAAATTAGCTTATACATAAATTAAACATAATTTTTTAGAAAAACCAACATGAAAGAACTGGATAAATCAGTTCCTCTATAAAAAAAATATGCATATGAAAAAAAAGAGAATCTTTTTATAAATTAAAATTAGCTTATAAAATTAACAAGTTTTATCATCATGTAATTATCTAAATTTCTATCATTCAATTTATCTATAAATTAAGTTCTTTTCATTTGTTTTTCAGTTTTCTCTCTTATTCTTACAAGTACAGAGATAAGTTTGTCTTGTCCCTTCATACCCATGTTTACATGCCCATAAATAGCAACACCACACCCTGGTATATTCTACACCCACAAATCAGACATTCACATTCACAGACAAATCCAACTGATCACGAATTTCACACCGTGGTTGGAATTGAAGAATTAAAAAGTTGCAGAAAGGCCCTGCGAAAGAAAAAGAAAGAGAAGAAGAGAGGAAGAATAGAGAACCGACCCCATGAGGTTAACGCGCAAGTGGATGCTGAGCTGGATGAAGAGCTCGTACATCTGGCCGAGATCGGCGGCGTTTCCGTGAGAGTAGAGGAGCGTGGAGGTGGCCATGGGGTGGCGAATGTAGAGCGCCACTATCTCCGTGCCGCGCCGCGTCGGAAGCTTCAGGATTTCCACGTTCTCGCGGTGAGGAAACGGCGTCAGGAGGAGAAGCCCCGTGAGGTCGTCCGTGACCACTTTGTACGACGGCGGGTTCGGCGGGAAGAAAGCGAACTTTGCCGCCATGGATGACGTTACCCCTCCCATCACGTACCAGAAAAAGCACGCGCGAACACACACACACACACGTTCTCTCTGGTATTGTTGAATTGAATTGGGTGAGAGATTTTCTGGAGGTTTCTATTTGCAGAGGACGAGGACGAAAAGGGAAAGGGGAGGAAGCTGATAGTGAAAGAGTGCTGCTTTGTGTCTCTGCTCGCTGTTACTTTGCTGTTATGCTGCTTCAAATTTTTATTAATTAATTCACACTCAAACCAGAGAACAGAGTACTAGGCGTTATTTCGAGTAAAACTCCATTAACATCATGAAATTATTATCAAGTTTTTCTTATCATATTAAACATAAAAAATTTAAAACTTAAACTCAAATAAAGTTACTAAATGAAGATAAATTATTTTTGTTGCTGTTGTTGTATTAAAAATAAAATAAAAATTATTCGGGAAATATATTTTACCAAAAAGAAAAAAGAAAAAAAGAAAATCAAGAGATTCTGCATCAATATGAGTGACAAAAAAAAGGTGAAAGTGGGCTCTTTTGTATCAGTTGGACCAGTGAACATGACCAATGCATCTCCCATCATTTTGTCATTGATAATTTGGTATGTTTCTTTTCCGCTGCATAATTTGGTCTCTTTTTTGTTTGTTAATGTTATATCACCATTATCAACAGAGATTTGCTCTATAAATAAAAACTTCATAATCCAAATATTAGAGAGAAAATCTAGGGTTTAAAATCATCTAGAAACGAATATTATTTGCTACAATTTATATCCAAGCAAGAAATTCTACATTTTGAAACTAAAATGGTCCAACAATAATTTTTTTCATGAGAAAGAAGGATAATGGTACACACGCAGACAAATCATATATATGCTTTTATTGAGTTCTCATTAATGCACCAGACTCGAGTTAAGGAGGACCACAAATAGAAACGATCTAGAATTGTAGACCACAATTGGTTAGATGTCAAGAAAAATGGACCTGTTGTTTTAATGAGATTTAATGGCTTATATTTCCTGAGAAAAAAAAAAAAAAGAAAGAAGAAGAAGCAGAGAAACAGCTTATTATTTTGAACATTGAGGCTTCTGTGTATAAAAGAAATTATTTCCGTCACGAAATCAAAAAAGAGTTCCTTAAAAAAATTATTTATGATACAAAAAAGTTACCAAACACGCACTTAGAGGAGAGATTTTTCTGAACCTTTTTTTTTTTTTTTTCTTTTGTTGTTTGGAGCAACTTTGATTTGGTAAAAGATTAGTAGGAATAAAAAATTAAGCAAAATGAATAAAGAGAGGAGGAATTGTTGAACCGAGGACAACTTTTGCATCCCTCGTATGAACAATGGCCACCATCATCGTCGTTTGTCTGTGTGAGACTGAGAGTAGAGATTTTCCAGGCTGATAAACCCTATTTCCCCTTAAGAACCTTGGATAAATGATAAATCAAACAAAAATGTCAGCAATATATTTTTTAAAACACTTTATTATTTATTACAATTTATTAAAAATAAAAAAAATTCATGAATAAAATATGAGTTTAGTTTCTCTAAATTTTCATAATTCACTTTTTAATCCTTATTTTTTTCCATTTTTTTCTAAAAAATTTAAAATGTCAAATTTAATCTTAATTAGTAAGTTTTACTGAACATGATAAATAATGTCATACAATATATATTTAAATAATTTATATATATCTTTTTTATTAATTATATAAATTTCTAAAACGGATTATAACTCCAACAGGATATGGCAAAAAATAAAAATATATTTTTATCAATTTAAATTTTTATTGATTATTTATATTTTAGAAACACATTAATAATTTTATTGTATTTAATATTTTTCTGATTTATTTTAAGATGATAGATTTTTTTTAATTGAGATTTAAGTTAAGCTTTGATTAAGATCTAATCTTAGATTGAATAATGTTTTGATTTTATTCATATTCAGATTCAATTAAGATATAATTATTCATTATATTAATTAAATATTGAAATTCGTATTTTATTTTTTGATCATATTTACTTTTAGACTTCAGTTACATAGCAATTTAGTTTAATTTATTCTAAAAAGGGAAAATCTCAATTTTAATTTATATAACGAAGAAAAATTAGAATTGAACAAATTGATATTTCAACTTTGAGAAAAATGAACTACAAGTAAATGACTTATACATGGTTAACCAAATTTGCCAGAAGATTTTTGAGGAATTAAAGTCAAATTGTATCCTATTTCTTATTTAATAAGTTTTACTTTTAATTTTAGAAGTTGGATCCCTTCAATTTACTTTTTTAATGAATTTCTTTCATTTTGCATAAATTAAACTTTAAGTCTAACATATTGATTTAAAATACAATAAGAAGATAATTTAATTAATCAAAATATGTAGAAAACAAAAAGAAATAAACATATATAAAATTGAGATGAGAGAAAGCACGTTTTTTTTTTTAATATAAAAACTAAAATCATCAAAAAGAAAACAAAAACAAAAATAAAATTTTGACTTATAATGATCCTTGACCAGAAACCGTGCATGCATGGGTGATGTCGTGCAAGGTCAGGTATAAATAGGTGAAACACTAACTACCAAGTTTTATGAACTGGTTAAATACCAAAAGTGGTGAATCTTCCAAATGAAGTTAAAAATCACGTAACCAATTCTAATGACACAATGAAAAGATATTGTATTAGTTGAAATATGTAACTCATTCCTCCAAAATCGACTAAATAAAATCATAAAATTGTGAGTGATTCTTTAAGGAGGGCACAACCACAATCATATCATAATTAGTTTAGTAATCCTCGGCAAAGTCCACATCTCAAGCTCAATTTCACGTGGAGTTGCCACCCCCATCAATTCTGACAAAAGTATTTTAGTGCAAATCGTACCAGCAAGCTACATAAACATAAGCACGTGAACATCAACATGGAAAAGCATAATTTGATATGAACCTTGAAAAATAAAGGGGAAATCCCAAGGAGATTATCCCAATGTTTCATATCAGGTCTGGGATCCCCAGATAGTAAAGAATAAAGGTTGGGAATAAGTTATATGTAGACACAGCACAAAGGGTCGTTTGGTCAAAATTACCCATATCAGTTTCCTAAAGGACAAATGTCCTCCCATGGACCCCTCCCCCCCTTACCCAACAACCTGTATAAGTGTGGTAAATAATCATTCCAATCACCCTGTGGACCCAAAAACTTGGCATCAAACTTACAAGACAAACAATAATCTTGCAGGTAGAAAAGGACCATATAACAACTAATTTAGTCAGAGAATAACTAGGATTTTTAAGCCTAGGACGGGTTCAAGGGATGTTTGGTTTGTTGTGGGTCCTGTAAATGAAGCAAATTAAGAGAAATTTTGGCTGGGATGCACTCATCTCAGATCTATCTTCTAGTTGGCGTGATGGGGTCCCCATGAGACATGTCTCGTGTCAGCAGCATTTTCTGATATGCCTGCCATGAGTTACTTTTCATGTTTGGTATGGCTAAAGTGCTTATATTATAGAATTAATCACTGCAGAAGGAGAAGAAACCATCCATGTAATTTGTTGACCAGCAAAAGGGAAGTAGTATCCGGCCTGTGGCTAGTGTTCTTCAGAATAACATTTGATGATGTTACATTAAAGTGCCCCAGATAAAAAGAATTGGAGGCACCATAAACATGGGTAATAGTGCGATTACTTGTTATTTTTCCCTTTAGCTATAATGCATAAGAAAGATATTACACAAGGGGAAAACAATATAAAACTCCAATGTCTGAACCGAAATTTTAATTGGAGGTGCACTCATATAGTTTAGGGACGTTGTTAGAAGTATGGTGCTGTGTCCCCCTTATCAAGAACTAGGTTGTCCCAGCTACTGAAACCTGCACACGTACAGACAAATGCTTTCTATGGTGACATCTCAAATGAAGCATTTGAATTATCATCTCCAGAATATAATGACAAACACGCAAGAAGAAATCTTCTGGACCTATTTAAAATTACCATACAGTAAACTAGTGAGGGAAATCCCAAGTCCAATGAAATACTTAAAGCTCCAGAAGCATCTTAGAACAGCAATAGAAAACAAGGTTGAAATGCTTAAAAAATGCTCTTCATGCAAAATAAGCGCCAAATCTAAAAGAAGCAAAACAAACTTATTTTGGAATATTACAATAGATGGAGACACTAAAAAATGACCAAGACAACTAAAAAAAAAATAACAATAGCCTTATTCTGTTAATTAAAGTCAGCTATATGAATTACATGACACCATTAGCCTTATAATTAATAAACTAAATTCTCAGGGATATTATCCACCATGAGTTCCCTTGTAATAATTTGCTCTAATGTATTTTTTTTTTATCTCCTTCTACCTTGTTTCGCAGGACTGAAACCATGGGATTGACTCTTCTCACCAGAGCTTTACCTTAACCAATTGACTAAGAGAAACTAATGCACACAAAAAAAATTAGTAACCTGAAATTCAAGTAGAATTAACACATTCAAGGTTGAATCAGGAAGGGTCATAAGACGGCTAACAGAAAGTTTTGATTAGAGATTCTTCATCCATGATTGTCTCATTCTTCAACATGGCTGAACACACAGGAAAAAAAACTATTAAGTCAGAAAACAATGGCTGTTTGGGAAGGGGAGGAGGAACCAAAGAGCACTGGATTGAACAGGTAAGGTTGGATCAATGTAGAGGAGGCGATAGTGAGGAGAATTGATAAATAACTACTTAACAGTTGCATGACGCACTCTCAAACACCAACGGAGATGCTGCATGAATCATGCACCGGGAGAGAGCATGTGAAAGTGTCTGACAGCAGAACTACCCAGTCAGGCCAGAAAGTGGCAAGCAAATCAGGGTATGTCTCCAGTCAAAAAACTGGTGGCAGCCAACAATGACAGTGACAGTTTGTGTTGCTGAAAATGAACCTGAATGCCATGAAGGAAGAATTAGGGTCTTGTATCAGCCACAATGACGGTAAGCTAGAGTTTGTCAAAAGCAAAGTCTATCAGATTGGAAGCTCTAATACTAAGTTGAATGTAAAAATAAATACAAACCTAAAATCATTATAGCAAACAAACTGTCCTTATTTCTAACAGTTACAAGTGTGAGACAGTAACAACAAATAGGCATAATAGGACAAAACAACGTTACAAAAATACAAAATTACTGGGAAAACTCATAAAACGAATAACAATATTCACCACACCACTACCAATGGATTTAGCTATAATATTCATAGAATTCATAAGATAATCCATTAAAACAAAGATAAAAGGAACCCAAAACCTCCTATGTATGTGAGGGAATTTGGTTTTTTAATCTTCAAGACATGGATCTTCCTTGAATCACTTGAATTCACAACCTTGAATCCCTCAAAAAACTATTAAAAACTCAAAAACCTTTAGAATGTGTCAACGGTAACCAAAAGTCGTGCCTTATGTCAATTGAAGAGCTTAAATAACACAAACAAAGTGATAAATACAAAACAGAGTCGATTACGCCACGGCTGTGTTGATTAATGACCCAAGTGTGGCCCGTCAAACTTAGTCGTATAACTTCTAGCACAAACATGCTGTTTCCAAACACAGATGTTTTCCAACATTGTTCCAAGGCTTTAGCACGGTCATCTAGGAGGCACAGGACCTGAAATCAAGTTTGGAAGGCCACAATTTCTCTCATAACACCCTTTTCTCCACATTTTTGCCCATATGCCAATCCCTTTAATCGTGTAACAAGATAAGGGAAATCGGAGGAAACTGATAAAAATATTTCCAAAAACCCCTGTCTTGTATTGAATATGATAGCACAATATATACATGAAATACAGAAACATTCTAGGCTATAATTACGCTAACCATTATAGTCGGTATCCTAAATTTGTCTATTAACAGATATGACATTAATGTGCATCACTGTGCATCGCTGTCATGCCAAGCTAAATATGGAAAAAATTAATCATGTAGAATCATGGCATGATACGGTATTTGTAATCGTATATTCTATGTTTATCACCCTCCCTCAAGATGGAGTATGAAGGTTGTGAATGCCCAACTTGCCTAAAAAAGAACCAAATTTAGTGGCGCCAAGAGATTTGGTGAAGAGATCACCAGATTGATGATGAGTGGACACATAGGAGGGTTGGATATGATTGTGTTGTATTTCATCACGAATAAGATGACAATCCACTTCAATATGTTTTGTCCGTTCATGAAACACAGGATTCTTGGCAATGTGAAGGGCAGCTTGGTTGTCACAGAGAGAGTCATAGGGTCGGTGTGAGTAATGCCTAGGCTCGAAAGAAGGCCTTGAAGCCATTTCAACTCACATGTCGTGTTGGCCATAGAACGATATTCCGCCTCGGCGGATGATCGAGAAACCGTATGTTGCTTCTTGGTTTTCCAGGAAACGGGGATTGGCCAAGGAAAATAAACCAACCTAGGTGAGAGATCTTCGAGTTAGAGGACAACTTGCCCAGTCCGAGTCACACCAACCATAAAGACGAAGGTCACTCTCTCTTTTAAAAGCACACCCCGACCTGGGCTGCCCTTTAAATAGCGTACCACGCGGAGTGCAGCCCGCCAATGTTCCCGACGCGGTTGGTGCATGAATTGAGATAGGACATGAACACCGTAAGATAATTCGAGTCGTGTAAAACACAAGTAAATAAGGCGACCGACGAGACGTCGATATTGACTCGGGTCGGAAAGTAGTTCGCCATCGCCCAATGCTAAACGATGATTTTCTTCGATTGGCGTGGACACGAGTTTCCCTCCAAGCAATCCCGCTTCAGCTATGATGTCCAACGCATACTTCCGTTGACACAAGAAAATTCCTGTAGGAGATCCGGCAACCTCCACCCCAAGAAAGTATTTTAATTTCCCTAAGTCCTTCATACGAAAACATTGATGAAGATAATCTTTGAATTGCGCAATGTCTTCATGATGATTGCCAAGCAATGACTAGGTCATCCACGTAAACTAACACAACCAGCTCGACATCTCCTTTGCGAAAGATGAACAAGGAGTGATCGACGAAGAACGTTGAAACCCATATTGAACAAGAGCAGTTGAGAGCTTGGCAAACCAACACCGAGGAGCTTGACGAAGACCATAAAGGGACTTGCGAAGACGACACACCATACCCTTTTGAGACACCAAGAACCCCGGCGGCATTTTCATGTACACATCTTCCTCAAGATCGCCGTGCAGTAAAAGCATTATGGACATCCATTTGATGAAGTTCCCAGTCTTTGGCTACCGCCACTCGCCAACACCTGTCCGAATGGTGACCATCTTTGCCATCGGGGCAAAAGTCTCGTCATAGTCAATCCCCTCAACTTGGTGATTTCCCAAGACAACTAATCGGGCTTTGAAGCGTTCAACGCTCCCATCGGAATGATATTTGATTTTATAAATCCACTTGCAACCCGGAGGCTTCTTCCCTGCTCGGTAGAGGAGTAATGTCCCATGTTTCATTACTTTGGAGGGCTCGAATTTCACTAGCCATGGCATCTCTCCATCTAACATCCCGAACGACTTCAAAGAAATGCACAGGTTCTCTCTCCGCATGAAGGGCTGCAAGAAAGGTTCGGTGGGGGAAGGAGAATTTAGCACAATTTAAGTACTTTGTCAAACCGTAAGGCATACCCGAGGAAGCTGAATGTGGAGTGCGAATTGAGGGACCGAGTTGTAAAGTGGTGTTAGTGACATAATCACGAAGCTTCACAGATGGCTTTCTTACACGAAGACCTTTCCCCAGGGATGCAGGGACAGTATGCTCCTCAGGAACCTCTAGTTCTGTCATCATAGAGTCAGTTTGTTCTGGTGGGAGAACGATCTGGGTGGGAGGCTCTTGTTCATGGCATTCACTTAAAGGAAATGTGTTTCTGCATTGCTTTGATCTCTCACACACTTCACACACACGAGTTGTATCCGTATTTCTATTCACGCTGTTCAGATGTGGAATTTTTCTAACAATCTGGTAGGCAGGATGTCCCATTCGCTTGTGCCAAATCTCTAGTTGATTTTCTGCATTGGTCTGATACGCCTTTATGCCACTCACACCACGATACCAATAGAGTCCCTCTTTTCGTTCACCCGCACCAATCAGCATCCTCGAAGTGTGGTCCCGCATTGCACAAAATCTATCAAGAAAATGTACTCGTACATTTTACTTCATTCGTCAATTGTGATACTCGAAATCAAATTGCAATTCAATTTCGGAACATATAGAACATGTTTAAGTTTCAGTCCTCCATCAAGGAAAACCGATCCTTCTTTGTTTGCCAGCACCAATTCACCATTTGGTAGTCCCACCGGGCACCCTTCCAAGGCTCGACTCTCCCTCAAGTTTTCTAGTGTTCCTGTCATATGATTAGAGGCGCCACTATCAATAATCCACAAGTCACATGCTTTCTTACCGGTCATCTTTTCAGCTTCATTTGCCTTGCGAGAATTCAACATTGTCGTCAAGATCTCGCCATTGCTCATTACTCGATCCCGCGACTTCGGTTTTTCGGTTGAACCAACGTTATCCGCACCGGTGTGCGCCATATTGACGCGAGCCGTTCCTCCTTTTCCTCGAAGGTTCCTGTTCTTTGTTGATTTTTTTCATCGTTTTTATCGGTTCGTGGTCTCTCTCCCCACCATTCTCGGGTAACCAATGATCTTGAAGCAATTGCCTTTGTCATGTCCCTTCCTTCCACACTCGCATGCAAACAACCGATTTTTCTTTCGCTTCATTGCGCAACTTGTTCCTCGGTTTCCGCTCGCATAGTCATTCCCACGATCATTCCTCGCTCTTCTTTAGACACTGGTGATTGTTCTCACTCTTTCTTCTTGCACCATGGTGCCATACACCTGATTCAACGAGGGTAATGGATCTCGTTGCCAAAACATTTGATCGTGCAGCTCCATAACCCTCATCATCTAGCCCCATCAAGAACCGATGAATTTTTTCTTCTTCTCTTCGTTTCTCAAGTTGCGTCATAATATTACACTTGCATCCCCCACATCTACACTCGTGGGATTTGCTCGTAATTTGTCAGTTCATCCCACAACGTTTTCAACTTCCCATAATAGGAAACCATAGTCATTCCTTGTTGTTTGCATTCCGCCAACTCGACTTTAGCTCGCTGGATTCTTGGTTCGTTCACGATCGAGAATCGTTCCTTGATGTCATCCCATAGGTCCTTTGCGTTTTCCATGTATGCAACAAGTGGAACGCAAACTAGGTTCTATAGTGTTTAGTATCCAAGATACAAGCATCGATTGAATTGTCCACCAATCTTCTATCTCGGATGTGTCTTCTTCGAGTTCCTTATGAGTTCCATCTATGAAACCCCATTTCCTTCGAGCCCGCAGAGATATCTTCACGGCCCTTGCCCATTCCTCGTAATTCTCTCCTCGTAATTGTACCGTGTAATCACATTTCCAGGATTATCACCGGCACTCGGATCGTATGGCGATGGTGTTTTCTTCACCGTCTCTCCTCTCTCTGCCATTTTAGAAGTACGATCGTGTTCTCGAGTCGTTGGATATCGAGTTTGGTTCGCTCTGATACCATGATAAAAATATTTCCAAAAACCCCTGTCTTGTATTGAATATGATAGCACAATATATACATGAAATACAGAAACATTCTAGGCTATAATTACGCTAACCATTATAGTCGGTATCCTAAATTTGTCTATTAACAGATATGACATTAATGTGCATCACTGTGCATCGCTGTCATGCCAAGCTAAATATGGAAAAAATTAATCATGTAGAATCATGGCATGATACGGTATTTGTAATCGTATATTCTATGTTTATTAAAAACCAACATAAATTATGCCTTACGAGTACAGTAATCACCTAACTTTAAATTGTATCATTTTTGGAGATGCCATCACTCCGGTCCAAAGATATACATGAGACACTGCAACCATATTTTGAAGCTTGGTGACACACTGATACTAGGATGGCCCAAGTGGCGTTGAAGTGTAGAAGGAGACATCAGAAGTAAAATCTGATGGAGATGATGATGGGTTAAGAATATAAATCCCCTCAGACAAAGAATCATGTTCAATTGTCCTTCTCCCAGTTCTGCATGAGAACAAATTTAGTGGTGAACATAACAGATTCAAAAGAACTGGTAATTAAACTCAAATTGAAAGGACAACTATAAACATAAAGAACAATATCGAGAGAAAGCAAGACACAGGACGAATTCAGTCAAGACACTTAGCAATTGAATTGATAAGAGTAAAATCAAATGTTATAACTACCATAAAATATTACAATTTGCCCTCATGCAGGATCGAACTACAGACCTTCAGTTTACAAGACTGACGCTCTACCACTGAGCTATAAGGGCAATTCATCTTTAATTTTTTATAATTTTTTTAAAATAAATATAAAGCAATTTGTCAATTTGTAAAATTCTTTCCATTACTGTTTAAGAATGATACCATAAGTTAGGTTATTTAATTCACTGTATATTATCATTTATCTTTAAAAAAAATCGTATTTAAATTTAAACATTTTATTATTACACTTTTATCCATGAGTTGTCACGTTAATATTGTTGTGACTTTATTTATAATGTTGTGATTTGAATTATCAAATTTGATATATTGAGTAATGACATAGTGACTTTCTATTAGAATTTGTCACTTGCATTATCATTATTAAATTAATTATTTTTGTCATTATGAAAAAAAAAATAGTTAGACTCAGGTATTATATTAGATGAAAAATATATTTATGATTTCAATGATAATATAAGTTGCTAACAACATGTTAGTGAATGACCAATAAACCACCTAATCAACATGTTAGATAATGTGTCCATTAAACATAGTCATCAAACCAAATGATAATATGAGTCATCCAATATAGTTTGTTAACACTGTATATATATTTACAATTTTAATATTGAAAACATTTTTCATACATTTTATTTTCTATTTTAAATTATTTCTTCTTAATTAGAATAATTATGTTAATTTTGTATTTTGCGCTACTCTAAGCTTTGATTATTTTTTGTCCATAACTTTTTATGTACTTTTGGCTAATTCATGTTGCTATGGGTTTTTCACTTCCCAAGCTTTTAAACTAGTATATGATTTCTTGAATTTGTAATGATTTACCATTTTTTTTATGACTTTTTGAAAGTTGACTTACAATTTCGTTTGCATAGAATAAAAATTGTGATTTGTTTTTCTTTAGTTTTATTCTCTATTGTTCAGGTTGAAAATATTTTCATGTTGGAGAAAATAAGAAGTTAAAAAATAAAAGAAATATCCCACAATATTTTTCTTTTTAAGTAAAGAAACAATAAAAAAATTTAAATTTATTTTTTTCATTATTATTGAAAATTAGCTATAATATAAAATATTGATATAACTTTTTATTGGTTATAAGTTAGTTAATTTTTTTAATATTTTTGGATGTTCTATTTTAACACTAAAATATGAAAAAAATGTTAAATTTTAGAGAGGTCGACAAATAAAATTATAGACCAATTTTTTCACGAGAAATAAAAAAAATAACAAAATAAATTCTAGTTTATTAAATTTAAATTAAAAAAACATTCGATTGAACTTTTCATATTAAGCATCATTTTAAATAAAAAATATGATTAAAAAAATTAATGTGTCTACCATTTATAAAAAGATTACTGCAAAATTCAATTGAAACGTGATAATTAAACACAATTGAACTATATATATATATATATATATATATATATATATATATTCTCGTATTAATATTAAAATTAGTTTTATTTATAATTTATAATAAATTTTTTTATGTTGCATTTAAGCTGTTAAAATAAACTTAACATGATCAGTCCGAAAGATTAAAAAATTAGGTTAGACTAGGTAAAAAAATTATGGTCTAAATAGAACTAGGCAAATTTTTGTCAAAAAATTTATAACATAAATAGAATTAGGTAAATTTTGGCCCGATCTATTTAGGTCAGACATAAATAAGCTTAGATCAGGCTAGTCCAGTAGACTTATGGATCAGTCCGTTTTATAAAATAATAATTATTTTAGTAATATAATAAAAGTAATATTATTTTATTAGAATATATATATATATATATATATATATATATATATATAATTTAAAAAGAATAATAAACTCTAAATATAATTTTCATTTTCTTCTCTTTATTATTGCTATCACATTTGTTTTAAATTATCAATAATTTAAGATGATATATTCTTAAAAATGGTGTATTTTCACATTATCATGAAGTTATCTAAAGTATCATGATATGAGAGTTATGTTGTTAGCTTGTTGAAGTAATGAAAATTTTAATCTAAAATTTATCGACATGTACTTTCTACATGTATTATTAAGCATGATTTTCAATTTAACTATGTTGAGTACGAGGGAGTTTGGGAGACAAATAAAGTTTTGAATTCGATTTCAAATCAATTACTAGAAACAATTCAATTACAGTTTATAATGTTATTTAAAAAAAAGTTATAAGATGCGCTATCTAATATTTCTAGTAGAATATTTTAAACCAATTATTATAAATACTTAAATTACGAGACATTTATAACATGTATTTAACTGAAAAAAAAAAGCTATAAGATGTGCTATGTTATATAATATTTCTGTTAAGATACGTATTTACCTCAATGTTACATTCTCATGTTTTTTATTTTATATCTTTGATTTTATTTTGTCTAAATAAGTTATGAATTAATTTTAAATAAACAAATAAATGACTTATTTTTTTCAAACAAAATAAAAAAAAATTATATAAATTAAAAAAAATATTTTTAATTAGGTCAAAAGTTTGTTAATCTTTGATCTAAACCTTTGTTCTAATATAAAGTTTGACTAGGCTAAAAATTTTAATCAACTTTAAAATATAAGTTAAATTAGTCAAATTAGACCATTAATTTTTTTTACTTGATGCGTAAGATTAAACCAGACTAAATTAAGTCATTTTGACCGTCCTAATTACATTATTACAAAGATTATATAAGGTCTTTAAGAAAATTAATCTGGAAGAGACGACGTAATAAAAAAATGAGTGCAACCAGTTAAAGATATATTACATGTAAAATTTTCATACCACCACTAGAAATACATACGAGATAAGCATAGTATTAAAATATATAGTAAATCTCAATTTCTAACCTTCAATTACATTTTGTACTGAATTGTGATAAAAATAAATAAACATATGTGGAAAAAAACTATCATGACTTAACACGGAAACAGAATTTAACTTAAAAGATTAGTTCATCAAGAGTTTTTCAAAGGATTAAGTATCCTACCAAGTCATTCATACTACTTGATATGCTACTTTGACTCTATCAATATTGATATGGTAGTAGTCATTTTCTCTTTTATACGACTTCATTCATCCATCATTCGATTTCTACCTCAATCTAACCAAAATATAGTCCTTTCCACGACCCAACTCTCGTTGAAAGTTCCAACGTATTACTGTGTGAACTACAATAGACCTAGCCAGTGTTTGCTAGACAAAACTGACAAAACATTTACTTTCCATATCCTTCAAGTCTGAATTACAGGATTATGGGCAGTGCGTTGGTAACATAAACACACAGGGTTGTGCATGGAATTGTACAGAAACGCAAATGACAATAGAGTTTGGTAAACAAAAGATCAATTGGTAGGAGGAGTAACAGTGCTGAAGAAAAATTCGTCATCAGCAGTTTTTTCACCATGGCAGCATTGGAAGGTGGTTAGCACATGCATATTGTTGCGACACTCGGGGCATGTGAGCGCCTCTTGGATTCTCTCTATTTTAGGAGAAAACTGAAACTTGCAGCAAGAACTAACAATTGGAAGAATCTTGTCGTAGTGATCCTTGAAAGCTTTGGCAAATCCATCTCTATCTACGTGTTCCTTCCACAAGGTGTCATACTCAACCAAGGTTTGCAACCCAGTTGTGGCATTTCCAGTGACCTCAATCCGATTCACGTGTGACAGAATAAACCATCCACCTTGTTTGTCAAAGCTTAGAAGCTTCTTGATTTCATGCATCACTTTGTCATCATCATCATTGCATAGAAGCATCTTGATTTCATGTATCTTGTTGTCATCGTTGTCATAGTCGTTGTGAATTTGCTTGAGTTGTAGTTTGGAGAAGAGCATGTTCTGAATTCGGAACCAGAAGAGCCAGATCTTATAGAGTGACCAGTAATGAGTGGGGAGCTTCTCAGTAGTTATGATCGAACGGATTTTCTCCACTTTCTCCGCTCTGTTGCCTTTTCCAAGATATACCATCTCTAAGGGTATGTTTGCAGCCGTTGCAACTCTGCGAGCTTCCTCCACAAATCTTCGTATCCAATCAGGGTCATCCCCTCCGTACAAGAAAATATATTTTCCACGAAGAGACTGAGCTACAAAAAACATTTACACTGATTAATTTTCGTCTTTAACAGGCCATGGATGTGTGAATAAAAGAAAGAGTTATTGCATTGCTAAAATTCATCTCTGCTTACCCAGTCCGTGAATTCGAGGCCACTGATCAGCAAGTTTAGTTTCAAGGTCTCTTCCTTCCATAGAGCTTCTTCTCTAGAACTTGTGAAAGGATAGGCTAAACTTCCCCAAATGGTCAACATATAGAGAGCATTGAGGCAAGTGACCTCCCCTTGTGGGTCCAAAACCACAATAATTGGCCTATTTTTGTATTTCCATTCCCTCTGGATGAATGTGATGACTGGCTTACCTATCCATGAATGGTCATACACTGAGTACCAATTCATTCTTTCTTTCACGCTCTCAAACATCTTTTGCTTTTGTTCTGTCCAGTCAGAGTCTAGGTCCACAATTGGGATCCAAACCCACTCATACGTACCAGGCGCTCTCCGTGGTCCACCCTTGAAAAGCTTGTATGCCAAGTTAAGAAAACGAATCTCGACTGGCGTCAGCTCCAGGCCTGAAATTATAAGCATCACATTCTTCCTTCTCAGCACCTCAAGGCTATCCTGTTCATTTGTTTCCATTATTATGAAAAAATTAGTGTCACAATATTAACTTTGGATAATACTAAGGCATCATAGAGTTACAAAAATCAAACCCTTTTCTTGGAAAGACCATCATATAGAGGAAGAATGTCATCATGCTCGTAGATCAAAGCCTTAAGAACCTCCATGTTGTCACTGTGAGGTTTTTTTAATAAATCACCTAGCTTTGCGTAAGCTTCATCATCCATCTTAGATGCACTCCCTGTTGACATCATTTCAGGTTGTTTATCTATACATTCCCGCCAGCTATCTAGTTCCTGACTCAGATGGTCGATTATGTTTATGAGTCTGAAACTCAACGAGGACAGATCCCACGTATCCGTAGATGTGAGGATCCTGAAACAGTGTTTTTTATCTTTGATTTTGTGTGTGTGCATTTGACGTATAAAATCATGCCATTTAGAAGCAAGGTATATATAATGAATGACCCATGTGAAGATATTTTAAATTCCTGACCATGGATATGCTAACGAACGTAAAAATCTTGAGCAAGATAGTAGAACATTCTCATACCCAAGTGTAGTGAGGCTTCTAATCTGAGCTGTGCAAGCCACAATACTTCTAAGGATCCAGTAGCAAGCAATAGGGATATAGTTATAGGCAGTGGTGTATTGAGTTGGCAGACCATGGAATCCTATGATACACTTGGTTACCTCCAATGTGATGTTAACTAGATGATTAAGGGTATCAAACCGTGGTTTCAACGAGCTTGCATGCTCCATGATGCTAGGTAATTGCTTCAGAATCCCCAACGTCTGGGCAAGCTGGTATGTACCATGAACATGAACAAGTAGCCAGAATTCACCGTAGGTTACAGTAAAAGCGGCTAAGGCCAACACTATCTTCACATCCCAATTGTACATTGTAAGCACGTCAAATATTGCAACTGTTGTGGAGTGTTCATCTACACCACCGAGTGTCTTGCAGGAAATCTGGAATTACATGCTTAAATTAACGAAAGTTCCATGCTTAAAAATCATTACTTCACTATCACCACCATCACATGCTCATTTGTGTCTTTGTCTCCACAATATACATGACTCTCTTACGTCATCGTTGTAGCCATCATCATAGCTATATGATCATAATCATCTTAATCTTCACTATACATATGACTGGCTTATTATCAATCTTCTAAAGATTTATTATTTTATTAGATTTATCTTCTAATTACATGAAAAATATTTTACTAATAATACAATTTTAATGTTAATGTGATAATAGTTATTAATTATTTCATTTGTTTTTTAAAACAAAATAAGTGTTTTCATTGCAGTCGTTATATATATTTAATAAGAATATAGTATCTTTAATTAAGTATTCATATTCTTCTTCTGATTAATTTATCCATAACTAGATACTATTTCAGTGATAACAGAGTTATATAAAAAATGTAGTTTTAGGATATTTTTCTAGCACCTCAGAGGATATCAGCTCAATCTTAGTAGAGAAAGCCTCCAGCAATTTTGTGTAGCCAGGATGGTGCCTTCTGTCTTCAACAGGTGGAAGGGAATCCTGAAAGAAAGTCTAGCTTAATCAGAAGAAAATAAAACCTCAACAGAATCCACATGCGTCATGACTAAAACTAAACTTCCATGATAGGAAACAAGAGAATTAAGTTTAGCCCTTCAGAATTTGCTCAGCTGTTACGTAAGCAACTCTTAAGCTTTAACATCGTACCATTATGGCATCCTCAAAACTCAAGATGGAACAATGTGTAAGAGTATCCTCAACAATACCAAAAATAGGCTTGATGTCATAATCTATTCCATCAGGTTTATGCTTTGCTACTAATCTCTTCATCCAAATCCTATCTTCATCAGACATCACGCTTGCAGGCATCATTTTTCCACCTGTGCGTAGCACCCAACTTACCAATAATGTTATTCACAGTCAGAAAGTACAGGAAGCAAAATGCAGATGCAAAGTCCTAACTTTGAGCCAAAGAATTGCGTTTCAACTACAATTAAAGAATAAACCCCACCTGAATCAGCTTCCTTTCTTTCCTCATAGTTAAGTTATTGGGACGTCAAGAGGAAGGAACAAACAAATCCTTAAGCTTTTTTCTTTCCCCCATATTTCTTTATTTTAGTGTTCACCAAGTTAGTGAGTGGCCTTTGCATCATTTTAGTAACAAAACAACGCAAAGCAATATCTTCATAGCTTTTGTTTCCACAAATTTCTGTTTTGTGTGAGGAAAGAGATGATAATAATCATTTTTCTATTAGTTAAAATTAATTCATGTAGAAATTAATTTGGATAACTTTTTTATATTGTTTTCTAATTATTTTTTAACTTATAAATAATTTTAATTTTATAAAATTTCATTTTTTTCTTCTTAAATTACTTACTGAAAAATTATCTAAACAAGGTGAAAAATAATTTTACAACATCCGCGTCTACCATTGAAGGTGACTTTTCTTGCAATATCTGTTCAATTTATCGTAATCCTTCCAATAATAGAAAAGAAGAAATACTAATTTATCGTATTTCTTTTTTTTTCTTTTAGAAACTAAGAATATTTATGAAAAATAAAATTGATAGTGCATGGGTTAAACTGATAGTTTATAATTCGGAGGAAAATATATAGAAAAAAAATACTAGAAATAAACGTTTTACGATAGATTAAGTTTATTACAAATTATACAAACATGAAAGAAAGTGATTTTTAAATAGGAAATGATATTTGAATAAAAAAATATATTTTTTTAATTTAGTTTATTATAGGTGATACCATTCTTAATGATAAAATTATGCATTAAATTTATACCTAGGCATTTTATATAAGAATTTTAGTTCATAACAAAATTTAGTGACAATTCTCCTAGATTCATTCAATAAATACATTTTTTATCTTTTAAATTATAAAATTATATTGACTCATGAGTGACTTGTCAATTGTAATTTAGACATAATTATTAATATTGGATATGATATAACATAAAACATCAAAGTTTATTGTTGGAGGAGAGAAGAACAGAAAAAACTTTACAACCATCAAATACATGAACAGAGACAACTCAATCAATGTAGGGATGATGAAGTCACGACAGGAGAAGAGAGGATGATTTGTGACACGAAAATGAAATAAATAGAATAACTCAATAAAAAAGAATGATCTGTGGCAAGGATTATAAAGAATCACACTATATTGAATTTGAAGGAGAACAATTCATTAAATTCAAAAGTTTTAGGGGTTTTCTTTTTATTATTAATGATTAAGTATGGATTTTTCATTTATTTCTTTAAAAATTTTACGACTAGTTAATAGAACTAAACAAACGATGATAAATATTTATTAAGACATTCCTCTAATTTTATAAGGAACGATAGGAGGAGTACTAGTACTGAAAAAAAAGTCCTGGTAGGTTTCTCCATCGTGACAACAGTGGTAGGTGGTGATGACATGCATGTGGTCGTGACACTCCGGGCACACGAGTAATTCCGAAGTTTTCTCTATCTTGGGAGAGAACTCAAACTTGCAGCAAGAACTAACAGCTGAAAGAACCTTGTTATAGTGATTCTTGAAAGCCTTGGCAAACCCATCTCTACCAACATGTTCCTTCCACATCACATCATACTCCACCAAGGTTTGCAACCCAGTTGCAGCATTCCCAATGATAACAATTTCAGACCCTTCTGCTAAAAGAATCCATCCACCATGTTTATCATAACTTACAAGCTTTTTTATTTCCTCCATCACATTATCATCGTCGTTACCTAGAAGCTTCTCGATTTCTTGCATTTGATGCTTGTTGGCGTCAATGTTCTTGAGTTGAAGCTTGGAGAAGAGCATGTTATGAAGACGGAACCAGAACAACCAAATAATTACCCTGTTTGGCAAGTAGTCAGTGTTGAGATTCTCACGAATCATTCTCACAATGATTTCTCGCACTTGGTTCTCTTTGTTGCTCTTCCCAACATACAGCATTTCTAAGTTTATTTTTGTAGCTGTGGCAACTCTACGAGCTTCCTCCACAAAACTTTTTATCCATTCAAAGTCGTTCCCTCCATACAAAAATATGTACTTTCCATCTGTAGTCTTCACAATAAAGGATTTATATTGATTAATTTTCATCTAGTACCAATTTTTTTATTTGTTAATTTTATGTTAAAATCCAAGTAGAAAGCAAGATCCTCTTTAAGTTTTTGGAAAATAAAGTCCCGTGTTAGTTGGGTGAAGAAAATAATAGAGTATATAAATTGGCTTTTCTCATCTTAAAAAATCTGCATTTTTTTTTTTCTATTAACGTACACTTATGCTAAAAATGTAATATGGAATCAGAACCTAACGTTTACCAACCCATAGTTATCCAACAAAATAATGTTAGCCGAGAAAAAGCTGGTTACCGGGCAGTTCAGAGTGAAGAAGTTTCACAGAATATATGCTTACCCAGTTCCTTATTTTTGTGTAGAAGATATCTGCTAGGAAATCAAGTTTCCAGGATTGATCCTTCCATAGAGCTTCTTCTCTAGAACTTGTGAAAGGATAGGCAACCCTTCCCCAAATCCAAATCATACGAATAGCATTGAGGCAAGAAACCTTCCCTTGTGGGTCCAAAACCACCATTATTGGCTTATCTCTGTATTTCCACTCTTTTTGGATGAACGAGATGACTGGCTTGCCTATAAATGAAGGATCATACACCGAGTACCATGGCATTCTCCCTCTCACGCTCTGAAACCTCTTTTGCTTTGCTTCATTCCATTCAGAATCTGGGTCTACAATAGGGATCCAAACCAAGCCATGCATACTCTGTAATCTCCGTGCTAGATTCTTATTTATATCCTTATCGAACGATTCCAGAAAATCAATCTCAACGCTGGAGAACTCTGGGCCTGAAATTAGAAGCAACACAGTCCTCCTCCTCAGCGCCCCAAGGCTAACCTGTTTGTTTCATCAATCATGTAAACATTGGCATCACAAACTTAACTTGGCATGATAATAATAATAATAATGCATCAACTATGTACAGTTTTGTTTTGTGTTACAAAAATCAAACCCTTTGCTTAAAAAAACCATCATATAGAGGTTGATCAACATCTTGCGCGTTAATCAAAGCCTTGAGAACTTTCACGTTGTCGGTCTGTGGTTTGGAGAACATATCACGCAGCCTTGCGTAAGCTTCATCATGCATCATAGATGCACTCGCTGCTGATATATTAAAAAGTGGTCGACTGATATGTTTACTGCGACTATCTGCTTGCTGCCTGAGATGGTTGATTATGTTTTCGAGCTTCGAAGTCAACGTGGACAACTCCCATGCACCAATATTAGATAAGAAGACCCTGAAAAGTATATTATTTTATGTATAAGCCAAAGCGTACAAGAAATAGTCGGACACATGCATTCATAATCTATATTTAATAAAAAATTCTGTATTCGATTTCCATGACTGATAAAACATACTCGTATCCAAGTGTGGTGAGACTTGTAATCTGAGTTGTGCAAGTCACAATACTTCTGATGGTCCAGTAGCAAGCAATTGGCATATAGTCATAGGCAGTGGCGTGTTCGGTTGGCAGATCGTGAACGTCTATGACACACTTGGTCACCTCCAGTGTGATTTTAACGAGGTCATTAAGGGTGTCAAACCATAGTTTCAGCGAGCTTGCATTCTCCATGGTACTAAGTAATTGCTTCAAAATTGCCAATCTCTTGGCAAACTGGTAGCTATCTTGAATATGGGCAAGCAGACAAAATTCACCGTAGGTCAGGGCAAAAGCGGCTAAAGCCAAAACTACCTTCACATCCCACTTGTACATTGTAAGCATGTCAAATATGGCCATTGTTGTCGAGTGTTCATCTGCACCATTGATAGTCTTGCAGGAAATCTGAAATTACTTGTTAGTTTTGATCGTGTTAATTTGTCATACAGCTGAAATTTAGCACTTGTGCATGATTATATCCTATTAACAAATCAAGTAGTTCAATGCTCTTGTAACAAAAAGGGTAATATGAAAAAGTTGTTCTTGGATATTTTTCTATCACCTCGGAGGAAATCTGTTGAATCTTAGCAGACAGCGCCTCCGGCATGCTCGTATAACCAGGATGGTGGCTTCTATCTTCAGCAGGAGCGAGGGAACTCTAAAAAAATATAGCTTAATAAGAGACTGGAAAATCTCACCCAAATCCACGTCTTAAACATTAAATTCAATTTCATAGGCAACCTTTGAAACTTAGCATCGTACCTTTGTAGCATCCTCAAACCTGAAAGCGGAACGTGTAAGAGTATCCTCAACAATACCGAAAATTGGCTTCACGTCATATTCTATTCCCTGGTCGGGTTTGTGCTTATCCCCTAATGCCTTCAGCAAAATGCTGTCATCATCAGACATTACGGAGAAGTTTTATGGAAGATAGTGAGAGATTTACTCAGTGACTTCTTGTAGGAAATTGTGAAGTCAATGAGGTCTAGAACCCTATTTATAGTGATTATGTATATTTAGTGAGAAATCAATACTTATTGTTTATGATTGTTGTAGCATTTTGATCTTCTAGAATAATCTGCTTCCTTTTTCTTTTCCGTAATTAACAATATAGCATATTTTCTTACCCTCTACTTTATTTAAAATTGTAGAAATAATAAAAATTTGCTTAAATAATAAATAAAATTAAAATTTCAATTTTTAATGTTTCTTCACCAATACAAGAGTGTTCGGAAATTTGTTTCTGCCATTTATCAAATATACTATTATCCAAGTGAAATAATTATTCAAATTCAATATTTAGTTGTTTTTTTCTTTTTGAATCAAAAATTATCTGTGAACATGTGTTTTATATGTGATGTCTTTATTTAACAATTTTCCATACTTTTTTATCCACCTTTTGCTTTTTCTGATTCTATCTCAGTTCCTCCTTTGCTTTCCCCATAATCTACACTCTTTATTCTTTTTCATTCTTTGCTTCTTCGATATGCATTACAATTTTGAGAAAAAAAAAAAAAAAAAGAGAGAGAATAACGTATCAATAGAAATTTTTTGAATTACATTCCTCCAATATAAAAATCTTACATAAAAATATACATATCTAAAAGTAACATAAAAACATCAATATAATGTTCTTTTAAATATGGTCAAATGTAACTTGAATGTGTGATATCTTTTTAAAAATTATTATAATTATTTTGAATACTTCACATGTTAGATTTGTCATACCACCGAGATAAGGAAGATATGTTTGTTCTTGAATGTGGTTGTTGATTGTTCTGGTTGAACCCCGCATCTTCATTTTTACTTGGAGAGTTATCATCTGCACGGATCATGTTGTTGAGGATAGGACTCCTAAGATTTTACCATGTAGTGAATGTTCATATTTTTAAAAACATGTGAATTTGGGAAAATTTGTAAAATTATACGGTTCCTTTACAAAATAAAATTTTAACCCCAATAATTTATCTACAAAATATTTTTTTAAATTAGTTCCTAAAAAATTGTTTTCATAATCATTTTTTTACAATTATTAAAAGTGCATTATTCCAATCTAGGTGCAATTTTTTAAAATATAAATCATAAACCATTCAACTATAATTATTTAAAATTAACACACCCTAAAAAAAAAAACTATTAACAACAAGAAGCATCATCACCAACCTTCAAATTGAAAATAAAATACGTATGTATAAGTAAAACCCATAACAAATAAATCACAACTTATCATGATTACTAATTAGTAAAACCTAAACATCACATAATGAATTATTAACATAGGAGACATCCAAAATGATGTGTCCTTGCCTATTGAATTAGGATGACATGACATGTATTTGATTATGATGATGAGAATAATTGAATACTGAATGAGAATTAATTATTCAACTATTATATAATGGATTATCTGCTTCAATGTAATTGATTATTTAAACAATCTACAAGCTTTTGGGTTTTCTAGGCTTTAAACAATCTCTCTATACCTAAACCTAGTTCTAATATTTTGAAGGTTTGTGTCTTAAAAATCTATTTTTTAATAGTTATTTTATTACAAAGCACTAAGTGAAGAAGCCAGGGAATAATTGAAAGTTACTGCTATGTATCTTTCTTTCTCTTAACGTCCCAAGAATTTAATTATGGTGAAAGAAAGGAAGTGGATTCCAAAGGGGTTTATGTTTATTCCCTTCTATGTACGTATATATCGTATTTGAAACACAACTACACAACACAAGTCTCTTTTTTTCTTTGCCTCGAAGCTACACTCTCTATCCGCATTGTGTTTCTGTCACTCACCATGGATATGAAGGCAAGTTGGGCGCGATGCAGCAACTGATGAAAGGTAGAAAAATGATGCCTGCAACCGCCATGCCTGATGACAGCATTTTGGTAAGGAAAGCAGTGGCGGAGCACAACCCTGATGGAACAAAATATGATGTCAAGCCAATTTTCCGTGTTGTCGAGGATGCTCTTAGACGTTCCACCTTGAGTTCTACAGTATGATGCTATCAACCTAAAAACTTTACTATGAAACCACCAAAGCATACATTGAAAGGGACTCAAATCTTTCTTGTTTCCCCTCAACTTGTTGGCATTAATTATTCCAGATTTGGATTTGGCTGAGGTTTTCATGTGTTTTGACTAACCTGTGCTTCAGGGTCCTGTTAATCATGTCGCTGACAGAAGTCACCATACTGGCTACTCAGGCATGCCGGAGGCTCTCTCAGCTAAGATTGATGAGATATCCTGTGAGGTGACTTAAAAATATCGTAGAACAATACTTATATATATCATTATCTCCTAATCACTGAACATTGTTAAAATAATTAGATAAATTATCACTTTGAGTTAGCTAATAATAATATATAATATGATATTTCAGATTACATACAAGAATATCAATTGTGTAGATGCACGCTCGAGTACAGTAGCAATACTAGAGATGCTTACAATGTACAATTGGGATGTGAAGATAGTGCTGGCCATAGCTGCTCTTGCCCTGACCTATGGTGAATTTTGGCTGCTTGTTCATATCCATGATACATACCAGCATGCCAAATCAAAGGAAATTCTGAAGCAGTTACCCAGTTTCACGGAGAATGTAGACATGCTGAAACAGAAACCAACGTATGATACCCTCAAAGATGTAGTTAAGGTCATATTAGAGGTGACCAGTTGTATCATAAAATTCCATGATTTGGAGACTCAATACATTCCGCAAGACATACAAGGCCACGGCAATGCCTATAATTATGTCCCGGTTGCTTGCTACTGGACTGTCAGAAGTATTGTGTCCTGCGCAGCTCAGATTACCAGCCTCAATGACAACGAGTATGTTAACACATCCAATAATCATCCATGGTCTGTAGAAATGATTTCTGAATCCAGCAAAGATCATAATCTAAATGATATAATCAATATTCAAAACACTGTTTCAGGGCGCTCACATCCACCGATTCTTGGGAGCTATCCACATTGGCTTCCAAGCTCAAAAACATAGTCGACCGTTTCAGGGAGTTACTGAGTAGCTGCAACAAGCATATTGGTAGGTTGCTTTTGAAGATATGAATGGGTAGTGTAAGATCAAAAAGGTCTACCAAAAAGTACAGAAAAAGTAATTTAATACTACCATTCGATGTAGGGAAAAAGATGGATGAAGTCCACAATTTGCTACCATTTATATTTTCACCCCACAGTCGCAACCAGAAGATTGCTAAGGATTATATTCAATCTCTATATGATGGTGTTCTAAAGAAAAGGGTTTGATTTTTCTGACATAATAACTACTATACATATATCATGCATTAGTATCATGGTTAGATATGTAGGTGATGCTAATGCTTAACTAATGGCACAACAAACAGGTTAGCCTTGAGCCGCTGAGATGGAAAAACGTGCTGCTTCTGTTTTCGGGCCTGGAGATCTCCACGAACGAGCTTGCGATTGTTGAACAGATCTATAATGAAACAAAGGCTCGTGAACCAGCAACTGAGGGTAGTAAACATGAGTTGGTGTGGATCCCAATTGTGGACACGTACTCTAAATCTATAGAACCAAAACTAAAGCAGTTTGGGAACGTGAGAGAAAGCATGCCATGGTATTCAGTGTATCATCCTTCATTGATAGTCAATCAAGTCATCTCGTTCATCCAGAGAGAATGGAAATACAAGACTAAGCCAATTCTTGTGGTTTTGGACCCACTAGGGAGGGTTTCTTCATCTAATGCTTTTCACATGACGTGGATTTGGGGAAGCAATATTGCCTATCCTTTCACAAACTCTAGAGAACAAGCTCTATGGCAGGAAGAGAATTGGAGACTTGAATTGCTCGTAAATGGCGATGAGATATCCAACTGGGTAAGCATAAAATGTACTCTTTTTTTTTTTCCTTTCTTGTTTGTGTGATCAGGCTACTTTTTGTACCTCAAATCAAACAATTTCATAAGGAATGTCGTGAAAAGAATTTGGCACTACTTTTCTTGTCTTGAAAATTAATCAATTTCAATTTCTGATTGCGCAGATTAAGGATGAAAAATACATTTTCTTGTACGGAGGGAATGAGTCTGAATGGATAAGTAAATTTGTGAAGGAAGCTCGCAGTGTTGCAGAGGCTACAAAAATATCCCTAGAGATGCTATATGTTGGGAAAAGCAGCAGAAGGAAGCAGGTGCAAAATATCGTTGATATTATAAAGCGTGAGAAGCTCAATACTTCATTTCTGCAAGATCAAGTCATGATACGGTTGTTCTGGACCCGTGTTGAGAGCATGTTCTTCTCCAAGCTTCAACTCAATCAAACTAATGAAGAAGACCAAGTGATGCGGGAAATCAAGAAGCTTCTGATCTATGACAAACAAAGTGGGTGGATTCTTCTGGCAAGAGGGTCTCATATTGTGGTCACTGGGCACGCCACAACAGGGTTGCAAACCTTGGAGGACTATGAGAACGAGTGGAAGGAACATGGTGATAAAGATGGGTTTGAAGCAGCTTTTAAGAATCACTACGCCAAGCTTAGTTCACGTGCTAGTCCTTGCAGCAAGTTTGAGGTCTCTGCAGAAATTGGGGAAACCCCAGAGAAGCTCACATGCCCTGAGTGTAACCGCCATATGCACGTGTTCACAAGCATCCAGTGCTGCCACGATGGAAAAATTGATGAGGATTTTTCTGTCAGCACTGTTACTCCTCCTACCATTTGATTATTCATTATTCACTGTTTGTTGGTGAGGATGTTTTACACCTTTTTGTTATCTCCAATCATGAGTGCAATAAAAAACTCAGTCTCATTGTCCTGTTAGGTGCGTACGAATGAAATGCCTACACTAAATTATCTTTAATTTATTTTTACAGATATGAAATTTTAAAATAATTAAAATTTTAAAAATTTTTGTAGGAGTAAATTAAAGTTATGAAGTTTAAATTTTCACACTCTGATCGATAAAGAATAATATTAACACGATTTTGATTAAAACATTGTCAGATTGAACTTAATTTGGTTTGCTTGATGTTGAGATATCTTTTGCTTTAACTTTTCAAAATCAAATCAATGTAATAAAAATTACAAATCAAACAATCAATTTTGTTTTTGTTATCTAATATGTTTCTTCAACGATTTGATTTAGATTAAAATTAATAATTTAACCAAAAACCAAACTACACCACTTAATAACATAACAACTAACAAATATACATGACTCTGTCTAGTGAAGACTAGTTTACTATTTGTTATACATATAACAAAAATCATACAAAATAAATTTGTAACATGCTCTTATTTGACAAATTTTGATTATAAAATATTTAATAATTTATTTCTGAAAAAGAGTTTATGAACATCAAGTTCTTTATATTTAACTTCATTTTTCGAATCTAAAGAACAAGAAAGAGTTTGTGAAAAGAGACAAAACCCAGTTTAGTAATTTTCATGTGTTGAAAGGAATACATCCTTAAATGCAAGTAAACAAAAGATGAGCATTGTTTGATCATCCTGGGACAGTAGTTGACTGGAGAGTATTCTGCTGAGTGCAATTAACCAAATCTGGTTACCTTGCTAGTTGTTACTTAGTTATATACCGTTTCTCGATTTTCTTTTTCACAATGAACTTGATTCAAAAAGAAACAACATAAGCACAATTGTGATGACCGCTTTCCATTTGTCCAATTTTGATCGCTAAATCTATCTCTTTTATCTGCTACAAATATGTCTATCAATACCATCCATTATGAATTTCACGTTTAGAAGAGTATGGTGTGTACTTGCCTATTTCTAATAAAGAAAGGAAAAACTGAGGGAAAAAGGGAACAAAGGAATATGTATAGTGGTATGTTTTGTTATTATTCAATTGGAGAGGATGATAAATACATTAAAAAGGTGGTGAGTTAGGTTGTAGAAAGTGATAGTTGAGGATACCCATAGAGGAATGGTTTTACTAACAGGCTTAGGACTGGATTAGAGGTTACAATTTCATGTGTTTAGGAAAATCAAGGAAGCAACAGAATGCATGTGTTCCAAAAGTTGTCGCCATCTTCTCTCCCTCCCTTTTAGACATTTTATGCTCTCTCTAAACTCGTTTGGAAATGTGGAACGGGCTTGCTCTTTCACTTCTCCATCAAATAAATTGTTTGTCCTCCCTCCTATAAAATCCTTGGGACCTGTTAGACTTTCATACAACATCCCAACAGAACCAGCAGGAGCACCTTGTCCTCCACCTGGTTAACACCCAAATTTGCCACTTTTGAATCAAACTAGTCCCATGAGGTGGCAGCCACGTGCTGAATATTTTTTTTTTTTTGGGAAATCCAAATATAAGTAAAAGTCCTCGTTGAGGATGAATGAGAAAATTTAGTAACATACAAGACTTTGTAACTCAACGTTTAAGGTTTTGGATTGAAGGTGGCGTCAATCTTTTATGTAGGTTAGGCCTATATCTTATTAATGTTGTCTCTTCCTATGAATCCCCTCGAAAGACCCAATAGCACCTTGTATCAAAAAACGGTGAGTCAGATAAGTGTGTCTCATTATGATGGACGACGATACAAGAAAGAGTCACTAGTGAGTTTGAGGGTTCTAATAATGTGAAGGAGTTCACACTTGAGAGAGAGATTGATGAGAATTCAAGTGTGAGTCTAAGTTCTACCTTGGGAAAGAATGAGAAAGTTGAATAAGGAAGAATGACTTATAGCCCAACGTATTAAAATTTTGAGTAGAAAGTGGTATCCATCCCTTATATTATATAGATTAGGTTCAATGTCTCATTAAGGTGAATCAATTCGAAAGACCCAACCGTTTTGGCTATGTTAACAAACTGGATAGGAATCACCATTGGCTTCTTAAGTATTATAAACACAGGCTTAGATTACTTAGTGTGACAAGACAGAGAAGGATGTGACAGGTAGAGGGTCTAGAAGTTTATACCTCTTAAATACAATTAGATTGTGCTCATGATGTGTTTTAATATATGGATGTGCGGGCAGACCTGGTTTGGTGAGCCTAGATCGAGATCGGTAAGAATTTGTGCCACAAACCAGGTTAGATTGGAAGTCTTAAGGCCCCTAGGTCTCCTTAGCATGGTGGAATGATGACCATGTCAGGTTGGCATACGTTGGATCAGTAGCCTGGTGGCCTCGGGAGTCATGTCCATTATAGACCAGGATCGTTGTTTAAAACTGGTTATCAAAAAAGGTCTGGTTTTCCAAATTAAATCATAGTACTAAATCAATTTGGATTGTTTGTCATAACTCTTAAGGTAATATTGAATAATGAGGCTGAAGAAAGCCAAAAGTATACTTGCAGTGAGGGCTGTAGTTAAGGGAGAACCATTAATGATGGAGATTATTCCAAAAAAGAAATGGTTTTAGTTTATATTTGGATTGGAGAACTAAATCCAATGATCATCAGTGATGGTTTTCTTTTCTTCTCTGAAAAACAAAGACATGAAGATTATTGTTTTACGAGAAGTTGATAAAACTGTAACTTTATTGTACTCAGTTTATACATACTCTCCGCTTAATAAGAACAAACTTCAGTAGATACAAGTCACATAATAATTTACTCATCCCTCAGTGTGGAGACCGAACCTCCCACTCACATTTTATTACATTAATATGCGATAAAAAGAACAAACACATGTAGTAAACACACAGGGATGTGCTTGACATTGGAGAGAAACACAGGCAGCAATAGTGAGTAAACAATGAATGATCAATTGGTGGGAGGAGTAACAGTGCTGACAAAAAAGTCTTCATCAACTTTTTCATCGTGGCAGCACTGGAAGGTGGTGAGCACGTGCATGTTGCGGCGACACTCAGGGCATGTGAGCCTCTCTGGGATTCTCCCCATTGAATGAGAGAACTCGAACCTGCAGCAAGGACTAACAATTGAATGAACCTTGTCATAGTGCTTCTTAAAAGCTGGTTCAAACCCTTCCCTGTCAGCATCATCTTTCCACACGGCATCATACTCCACCAAGGTTTGCAACCCAGTTGTGGCATGCCCATTAACCACAATGTGAGACCCTCTTGCCAGAACAATCCATCCACCCTGTTTGTCATAGCTGAGAAGCTTCTTGATTTCCTGCATCACATGGTCCTCTTCATCGGTTTGCTTGAGTTGAAGCTTGGAGAAGAGCATACTCTGAAGACGCGTCCAGAAGAACCATATCATACTCTGCTCTGACCAGTATTGAGTATTGAGTTTATCACGAATTATTGTGTCAATGATTTTCTGCACCTGCTCCCTTTTGTTGCTTTTCCCAACATATACAATCTCTAAGGGTATTTGAGTAGCTATTGCAACCCTGCGGGCTTCCTTCACAAATCTTCTTACCCATTCAGGATCATCCCCTCCGAACAAGAAAATGTATTTTCCATCCTTAATCTGTGGAATCAGAAATTGACATTGATTACTTTTGTAGGCAAGAAAGGTTAGTAACACATTCTATATTATTCTCTAAATTCGTTAAATAGAGTGAGACCGATCTCATATAGTGGACATACATGAATTAGTTAATAATAGTGTGTTTTGGAAAAGAGAGTGAGTTCATTGCTAATAATCATCTTTGCAAGATAGTGTGAAATAGTCCCACGTTTTAAACATCACTGATGCGTGAAATATGTAGCGATCCATGTTTGGTTTGTTAATGTTGTTACCAAAAAAGACTGCAGCATGCTGTTACAACTACACATAGTAATATTCATTGCTCCATGTGAACTAGTGACTGTACTTTGACATTTTTTCAGTTAAAGCTTAAATGGTTCGTTTAGTCCAGTACTATTTTAATCTATAAGTTAGCAGCATTATGCTTTTGGATTGGAGCTGTGGTGTTAAGCTTTTCATGACATTCCTATGGAATAGGCTAAATTCTATACATGGTATAAAAACCTTATAGCCTGATATGACTCTTAAAAAGGAGAAAAAGAAGTGTTTTGATTGTCAGAATATATGCTTACCCAGTTCAATATTTCTTGATCAATGCCATCTACTAGTAATTCAAGTCTCCAGCTCTCTTCCTTCCATAGAGCTTCTTCCCTAGAACTTGTAAAAGGATAGGCAGCACTTCCCCAAATCCACATCATGTGAATAGCATTGGGGCAAGAAACTCTCCCTTGCGGGTCCAAAACCACCAGAATTGGCTTATTCTTGTATTTCCATTCTCTCTGGATGAACCAGATGACTGGCTTGCTTATCAAAGACGGATGATACACTGAGTACCATGACATGTTTTCTTGCAGGCTCTCAAACTGCTTTTGCTTTGTGTCTGTCCATTCAGAGTTTGGGTCCACAATTGGGATCCAAACCAACTCATATCTACTCTCCATTCTCGGTGCATGAGTCTTTGATTCGTTGTAGATCTGGTCAAGAATAAGAAGCTCATCGGTGGAGATCTCCAGGCCTGAAAATAGAAGCAGAACATTCTTCCTTCTCAATGACTCAAGGCTAACCTGTTTGTTTCCATTAATAATACAAATATTAGCATCAGCTACACAACTGCCCATAATACTAATGCATAATATAGGTAGTAACTGTATTAGAAAATCAAACCCTTTTCTTGGGAACACCATCATATAGAGGTAGAAGATCATCCTGTGCATAAATCAGAGCCTTGAGAACCTTCATGTTGTCCGTGTGGGGTTTCGAAAATAACTCTCTCAGCATTTGGTAAGCTTCAGCATCCATCTTTTTCCCTAGAATGATGACATTTAACTAGTCAGCTAGCTTAGGGGTTATTTGGTATAAGTTTTACGTTGTTTTTACTTTTTTCATATCTATAAAAATTTAATCAGAAAGCAGTGAACGCGACTTTATTCTTGTCTGGTTTTCATCCTATAAAAAAATTTAAAAGTAGGAAATGAAGTAAAAGAAATGTGACACTACTGTAATTAAAAATCAAAGTACAAAATAAACCAAATGGCTTACACTTCCTATTGATATCTCAGTTTTATTCATGGAAAGACAGAGACGAGGAATTAAAAGTTGCCTACCAATATGTTCGTGGCAGCTATTCAGCAGCTGCCTGAGATGGTCAATTATGTTTTTGAGCTTGAAAATCAACGTAGAGAGCTCCCAAGCATCAGTGGATGTGAATATCCTGAAACAGTGTTTTTCATATATTATTTAGGTGTCTGTCATATTAAGCAAACCCTTTCATAGGTAGCTAGGTATCACACGTTGTGTTAGAGATGTAACTTCTTCAAACATGTGATCATTGACCATCTTTCATGTGCTTTTGTGGATTCATTTATATAGAGAATCAAAATACTGACGATGGATATGCAAGCAGACATGAAAAACTTGAAAAATGATTGGAAAACATACTCGTAGCCCAGGGTAGTGAGGCTGGTAATCTGGGCTGCGCAAGCCACAATGCTTCTGGTGGTCCAGTAGGAAGCAACTGGGATATAGTTATAGGCAGTGGTGTAGGCTTGTATGTCTTGTGTAATGTATTGAGATGGTAGATCATGGAATTCTATGACACACTTGGTCACCTCAACTATGCTGCTAACAAGATCATTAAGGGTATCAAACCGTGGTTTCAGCGAGTTTGCATGCTCCATGATACTCGGTAGTTGCTTCAGAATTGCCATTGATTTGGCAAGCTGGTTTTTATCATGAATTTGGGCCAGCAGCCAAAATTCACCGTAAGTGAGAGCAAAAGCGGCTAAGGCCAGAACTATTTTCACATCCCACTTATAGTTTGTAAGCATGTCAAATATTGCAACTGTTGTGGAGTGTGCATCTACACCACCGAGAGTCTTGTAGGAAATCTGAAATTTCAAGTTGGTTTTGATATTGTTAATTTTTTCCATTAATAGAATAACTTATTTATGTTTTTAGCTTTTGAAATTTAGTGTGATTCATATTTTGTAGTCTCTCAAAATTGGGAAAAAATTATTTTAGTCCCATAATATTAATTTTCAGAGACTAAATTAAGTTTTCAAAAACTAAAAAACATAATTAATCCTTCAAAATTATGCATGCTGATTATGTGGGGACCATGCCAATCATCAAGGAGGAAAATAAGGTTTGGAGTGTTTACTGTGATTAGAAATTATATATCCGTTTTACAAATTAAGAACAGAATATCCGTTAGTAGCTCAAACTTTTGTGATAGCCATCTATCCTTTTTCAGTTATTACACAGATAGTGATGTAGAAATTTTGATCTAGGATATATTTTTTTCTCACCTCACAGGAAATTCGATCAATCTTAGCAGATAGAACCTCTAGCATGTTTGTCTGGCCAGGACGGTAGCTTCTGTCTTCCACATGATCAACACGTGCAAGGGCACCCTGTAAGATGATACAGGTTAGTCAGAAGATAGGAAAATCTCAGAAAAAAAACATATTTTTGTTAAAACCAAGCATTTACGATATGCAAAAATTTTTTAACTGAGAGGGACCAGGAAATAAGACAGCTGACTTGAGTCCCTCAAAAATCTGCATGGCAGTTAGATAGATAATCAACTTTTTAAGTTATCAGCAGCATCATACCATTGTAGCACCTTCAGAACTCATGTTGGATCGTATTAGAACATCCTCAACTATCTGGAGAAGGGGCCTGACATCATAATCAACCCCCTCGGGGTTATGCTCTCCAACTATTTTCTTCACCAAAACGCTGTCATCAGATATTGCCACTGCAGGCATCGTTCTCCCACCTTTTATCAGTTGTTGCATAGCACCCAACTTGCCAATGCTATTCATTTTGGGCTAAACAAAACAAAATGCAGATTAAGAACTATAGCTTTGAGGCGAAGAAGATATAGTTAGGCTTGTGTAGTTGCGTTTCAAGTGCAATGTAATAGGCCTACATATAATAGATAGAAAGGAATAAACCCCACCTGAATCAACTTCCTTTCTTTCCCCATAATTAATTTATTGGGATTCTAAGAGCCAGGAAGCAAGCTAGAAAGCCTTAAGCTTCTTTTGTCCCTTGTCCTACCTCTTCACTTTAGTATGTGATAACTTCTGCAGTGACAAAACAACATAAAGCCTTCGCATCTTAACTTTTTTAGTGTTTAAGGCAATGAAATGAAACCTCAGCATGACTCTGAGTTGTATAAAGTTATGATGAAGGCTTGGAAGTAAGTGTAATGTGCGTCAGGGAATACTCCTACAGTAGTATTAACTATTTTAAGAAGGT